CTGACTACTTTTTAAGAGGTGTCGGCTACTGTGCTAAGGCAACAATGCAAGGTGCTTTGTTCAGGCTAGAATTAGGGATGAAGAAGCTGCAAAGGGTGTTTATATTGGAGGTTAAAAAAATAGGTACCACCAGCATGATGCTAAGCTATGAGGATACTGGTTCGAACCCAGCCCAGGCAGGAAAGTCTGTACTTTTTTTTCTTTTTGGTCAGTTGTGGGGCTTGAACTCAGGGCTTGGGCACTGCCCCTGAGCTTCCTTTGCTCAAGGCAAGCACTCTGCCACTTGAGGCACAGTACCACATCCAGCCTTTTCTGTTTATGTGGTGCTGAGGAATTGAACCCAGGGCTTCATGCATGTGAGGCAAGCACTCTACCTCTAAGCCACCTTCCCAGCTCTCCAGTGCATTACAAAAAGGAAAATATTATGATCATCTTTCCTTCTCAAATATATTTCTGTAACATTTTTGTTTTGAGATGTAACATTTTCTGTAACATTTTTGTTTTGAACTCCTGACCACCATGATTCTCCTGCCCTGGTTTTCCAAGTGCTGGGGTTGCAACAGCACATCTTTTTTGTTTGCTTTGTGTGTGTGTGTGTGTGTGTGTGTGAGTGTGTGTGAGTGAGTGATGGGGCCTGAACTCTGGGTCTGGGCACTGTCCTCAGCTCCTCAGCTCAAGGCTAGTGCTCTACCACTTGAGCCACAGCACCACTTCCGGTTTTTTCTGCTTATGTGGTGCTGAGGAATTGAACCCAGGGCCCCCATGCATGCAAACCAAGCACTCTACCACTGAGCCACTGTCCCAGCCCCTTGTTCACTTTTTTGACACTAGCTCAGGTTAGTCTGGCATTTTCCATAAGCCTGGGTTAACATGTGTTTATCTATCTGTCTTGTATGTTGATTTACAACCCTTCAGATGTATGCCTAAATGTGGTATGAGCAGGGTCATAGGTTAGCTCTATTTTTGGCTTTTTTGTGAAGCCCAATATTGATTTCCACAGAGGATCTTTTTTTTTTTTTTCTTCTTCCTTTCTTTTTTCAGTGCTGTGGTTGAACTCTGGGCCTTATATTTGCTAGACTGCCATTCTACCATTTGAGCCATGGTCTAGGCCTTTCTGCTTTTGTTATTTGTTATTTACTTATATTTACTTTTTGTTTAAAGATTGCTTTTTAATAAAATAAAACTCAAACTAAATGTTAAAAGTTTAAATACCTGAAAGGATTACATACTAAATCAAATCACTCTAGGCAGTAATTGATTGGTGGTCCTGCTGGACATCTCCCAAAAGGACTAAGTCCAGTTACTGTTGATCTTAATCAATGTGTGTGTGTGCAGACACTGAGGCCTGAACTCAGGGCCTGGGATGACTTCCCTTAGTTTTGTTTTTCTCTCTCTCAAGAGTGTCTTTCTACCAATTGAGCCACAGCTCCATTCCGGTTTTCTGGTGGTGATGATTCTCCTGGACTTCCCTGCCTGGGGGAGTTTTGAACCTGGATCCTCAGATCTCAGCCTCCTGAATAGTGAGGATTATGAGTGACGAGGATTAGGAGTGTCAGGTGCCTGGCTGAGTCTTGTCTATCCTTATCTATTACCAGTTTCAACTAGTTTCATAAACTAGAATATAACCGGTTTCTCTCGCTCTCTGACAGAGACTCACAGGATCAACACAATTTATCTTCATTTGGGAAGTGCACAGCTCCAGGCTTACTTTTTTTCTTTTTAACAAACTTAGCTATGAGAAAGTCAGCTGGTTAATGCCTAACAAGTAATCACTTGCCTATAGTGTCTGCTAATCTGTACTATTTTGTGGTTGTTTTCCATCCTCCATGTGTCTGGGAAGACCTTCCAGGGTGCAGTAAAAATAGAACCATATCACCGTTTTACTTGAAGGTGAGCTTAGAAAAAGATCTCAAGAAAAACTGGCAGATGGAGCCCTTAAAAACGAGTTAATTTTAGAATGCATGTCACTTTCCATCTACGAGACCTACCAAATAACCCCCCCCACCAACATCTCCACTTACCCAGCTTCAATGCGCCACAAAACCAGGAGTTGGGATTCTTACTGCTTCTCAGCAGTACTAGACAAACCAGACCCCACCACCCAGACCTCCTGCCTCCCTCCCTCCAAGGGGTCAGGGACAGCCGGCCTCGGAGGGACCCCACCGGGCTGCCCAGCCTGGCTTCTCTCGGCGGGGAGCCCTGGGGATGGGTGGAGGCTCATCTGCTGAAGCTTTTATTTATAGCTCAGTGTCTCTGGCTTTTTGTTGTTGTTCTTGGTCTTCAAAGACCCACATGGCTGTGTGGGGGGGGGGGAAAGAGAGGGTGAGGGGGGGAAAGGTGAGGGGGGGGAAGGAGAGGGTGGGGGGGAAGGAGAGGGTGAGGAGGGGGGAAGGAGGGTGAGGAGGGGGGGAAGGAGGGTGAGGGGGGAAGGAGAGGGTGAGGAGGGGGGAAGGAGAGGGTGAGGAGGGGGGAAGGAGGGTGAGGAGGGGAAGGAGAGGGTGAGGAGGGGGGAAGGAGAGGGTGAGGAGGGGAAGGAGAGGGTGAGGAGGGGGGAAGGAGAGGGTGAGGGGGGAAGGAGAGGGTGAGGAGGGGGGAAGGAGGGTGAGGAGGGGGGGAAGGAGGGTGAGGGGGGGAAGGAGAGGGTGAGGAGGGGGGAAGGAGAGGGTGAGGAGGGGGGAAGGAGAGGGTGAGGAGGGGGGAAGGAGAGGGTGAGGAGGGGAGGAGAGGGGGGGAAGGAACCAGGCCTTTAAAAACAGATGGGGGTCCCCGAGGCCCTGGGGCCTGGCGGGGTGCGGGGCCCGAGGCCCTGGGGCCTGGCGGGGTGCGGGGCCCCGAGGCCGGGGGATGCGGGGTGCGGGGCCCGAGGCCCTGGGGCCTGGCGGGGTGCGGGGCCCGAGGCCCTGGGGCCTGGCGGGGTGCGGGTCCCCGAGGCCCTGGGGCCTGGCGGGGTGCGGGGCCCCGAGGCCCTGGGGCCTGGCGGGGTGCGGGGCCCGAGGCCCTGGGGCCTGGCGGGGTGCGGGTCCCCGAGGCCCTGGGGCCTGGCGGGGTGCGGGCCCCGAGGCCCTGGGGCCTGGCGGGGTGCGGGCCCCGAGGCCCTGGGGCCTGGCGGGGTGCGGGCCCCGAGGCCGGGGGATGCGGGGAGCGGGGAGAAGGAAGGAAGGGTAAGAAAAAAAAAAGCAGCGTGCAGCCTCCACGGAGAGGGAGGGCGGAAGAGGAGCCGGAGGAGCGGCGGCTTCACGCCCCGGGCAGAGGGAATCTGAGAGCGCGCGGGGGTGGTGGGGGTGGGAGGGGAAGGGCCCGAGCTGGTGGCAGAGCGCCTGCGCCGTCGGTCGCTGGCGCGCCACGCATGCGCGGTGGGGGCCCCGGGTGGGCGGGCCGTGGGGACGGGAGGGGGGTGAGGAGAGAGGAGGAAAGCGAGGCGGGGGGCGGGGCCGGCGCGAGCGGGCTAATGTGTTTATCCGGTTTGCTGGGTGGGCGGTCAAGGCGCACGCGTCGGGGCGAAAGGCGGTAGCGTGGAGGGAGGGGGGGTCCGCGCATGCGCAGAGCCCACCGGCCGCTCGGGGAAGGGCGTGTGTGCGTGTGTGTGTTGAGGAGGGGGGGAGGAGGAAGAGGAGGAGAAGGTGGAGGAGGAGGGGGGTGTGGGGGAGTTCTCGGAGGAGAAGCAGAGGAAAAGGGAAGCGAAGGGAAAAGGAAAAGCGAGGAGGAGGGGGGGGGCGCAGGGAGGGGTGAGCGCGCGGCGCGCATGCGTGCGAGCGCCAGCGACGGCGGCGGCGGCAGCGTCTCGGGGATGACAGTGGCTGTGCCCGTTGGGGTAACGGTCGTCGTCGTCGACCGGGCCTCCGGGCGCCCGTAACGACCCGCGGGGATCCGTTCCGATCGTGACCAGGCCGGGTCCTCACCGGGAAGTGGGGTGGGGGGGAGCCCTAGACCGGCGCGTGGAGCCCAGCGCGTGGCGGGGGAGGGGGGTGAGGGCGGCGCGGGGGAGGGGCGCGGCGGGGCCGGGCGGCGGGGCCGGGAGCGCCGAGCGCCCGCCTAGGCCGCGGGGCGGCCCGCCGTGGTGTGATCGTCGCTCGGCGGGAGGAGCCGTCCGTGCCAGTGCCGGGAAAGATGGCCGGGCGCTGAGGGGGCGGCGCTTGGCGCGGAGTGCGACCCCCTCCCCCTCCCGAGTGTGTGCGTGTGCGTGTGCGCACGCCCGCCCGCACGCCCGCGGACCGAGGGCCGCCGCCGCCAGCGCCACCGCCGCGGCCCCGCGGGGCCTGCTCGCCGGGCCCGGCCGCCGCCGCCGCCCCGCCGCCGCCCCGCCGCCGCGGGGGCCCGCGCACTTCCGCCCGCCCACTTTGAACCTCGCCAACTCCAGGAACCGCCGGGGCGGAGAACCGGGGCGCCGCCGTCCGGGCTTCCCCCCCCCCGTCCCTCCCCCTCCCCCCCCGCGTCCGAGCATGGCGAGGGCGGCGGCGTTGGCGGGCCGCACGAGCGGCAGCACCGGCAGCAGCAGCGGCGGCGGCGGCGTCCGCCGAGGCCGCGATCGCTCGCAGTAGATTCCCCGGGAAAGGAGGAGAGCCGACGACGGGAGCCGCCGCCCGCCCGCCCCGGAGTCCGCGTCGCCGTCGCCTCCGATGATGGAGTAGACGCGATCTGATCCCTCCGCCCCGCACCCCGATTTTTTTCCGTTAACCCCGCGAGGACTGCGCCGCCCCCCCCCCGCTCGGATTATTCATTTTGGTTTTGTTTTGGGGGGGGACTGGGCCTCTCGGCTCCTCCCGAGGCGCCCCACGTCGGGGGGGGGGGGGAGAGGGAGGCGCCTCCGCGGCGGGACATGCGGCTGGAGCGCAGGCCGCCGCCGCCGCCGCCGCCGCCCGCCCGCCGAGCCGCGCGGCGAGACTGAGCCGCCGCCGCCGCCGCCGCGCGCGCCCCGGGCCGCGCACCCCCGCCGGGCCGCCCCGCGCGGACGCGGCCGCCGCGCGCTGCCCCCACCCCCGCCCCACCTCCCTTCCTCGCGCGCTGCGCTCTCGGAGCCGCCAGCCTCAGGGACGGAGGAAGGGCGCCGGGGGGCCCATGTGCGGGAGGGCCGTCCGCGCTCCACTCCCTCGCGCGGGCTCCGGTGGCGGTGGGTCGCCGGCGTCCCCGGGCCGCGCCGCGCCCCGTCGGCCATTGTCCCGAAGCTGGACCCGGGATTTCTTCTCCGCCGGGAGCGCTCGGAGCCGCAGCGTCTGCAATGAACCCGGTGAATGCCACTGCTCTCTACATTTCCGCGAGCCGCCTCGTGCTCAACTACGACCCCGGGGACCCCAACGCCTTCACCGAGATTAACCGGCTCCTGCCTTACTTCCGACAGTCCCTCTCGTGCTGCGTCTGCGGTGAGCACCCCCCCCTCCGTTCCTGGGCGAGCGGCGGGCTCGGGCCGTCCGGGCTCCGGCCCCCCCCCCCCCGGCCCCGCACCGCCCGGAGCCCCGGCGCCCCGCGGCTCCAGGCGGCGGCGCGTTTTGGCTGGATGCGTGTGGTGACTTTGGGGCCCGGCCCGGCTTTGAACTCGGGGCCCGGGCGCTGACACCCGGCGGCTTTGGCTCCGGGCGGGCGCTCCGCCGCGGCGTCACTTCCGGCCCCCCTTGCGAGTGGTTGGCTGGCGAGCGGAGCCTCCGGGACGCCGGGCTGGCTTCGAACCGCCGCCCCCCGACCTCGGGCGCCCGGCCAGGAGCACGTGGCGGGCGGAGCGGTGAGGGGTCCCGCCGGGCCGGGGCCGCGGCACAGACCGGCGGCGAGCGCGGCGCGGCCCGCCCGGTGCGGAGAGCGCGCGGCGCCGGGAGGAGGCCCGGGGTCGGGGCCCCGCCTCGCCAGGTCCCGTCCGGGTGCGGGCCGGCGGGGGGAAGCCGGGGTGCGGGCCGGCGGGGGTGGGAGGGTGGGTTCCGGGCCGGCGGGGGGAAGCCGGGGTGCGGGCCGGCGGGGGGAAGCCGGGGTGCGGGCCGGGGGGGGGCGGCGGGGGAGGCTGGGGGGGAGGCCGGGGTGCGGGCCGGCGGGGGAGGCCGGGGTGCGGGCCGGGGCGGGGGGCACGCGCCCGGCTGTGATTGGCCGCGCACAGGTCCAGGCTCCCGTGTGAGCGAGCAGCGCTGGGGCCGGCGCCTTTCCGGGGCGGCGCGGGGCCGCCCGGGGCCTTGGATCCCCGATGTGGGAAGATGAAGCCGGGGCGCGCTCCGCGGGCGCTGCCTCGGCCCGAGCCCGGCCTCGCGGGCGCCTCCCCAGCTGCCCGGAGCGGCCCGCACCCGGCCCCGCCCAGCCGTGCGCGTGGGGAGCTGGCGCCGGCTTCCCCGGCTGTTTCGTGTGTCCCCCCCCCCCCCCCCCCCCCGCCGTGTTAGGGGCCCGGCAGCCTGTCTGTCTGTCTTGCTCGCAGGTGACACCTGGGGGTCGATTCCCTGCTCACCGAGTCGGCGGGTTTAGCGTCGTGTTTTGGACGGTGTGCGCATGTCCGGGGTTTAATTTTCGTGTTTTTTAATTGTGGGAGTTACTGTGCAGCCTGAGACTAGCTTTGAACTCACGGTCCTGACCTGGTCGCCACGCCACGTAGGGTTGGAAGTTAAGGACAGGCTCAGTTGTGATGGTCTGTTTGAACTCTTTCCAAAATTCCGGCCTGGATTAAAAAAAAACGGGGAGCTAACGTCAGCACTTGGGAAGGTCCGAAGCTGGGCTACGTGATGATGAGGCCCAGGTTAGAAGGAAAGCTAATAAGCGTAACGACAGCCACCTTTAAAAATCAGTCTTGGCCACAGAAAGGGCATTTCCCTGATTTATCCCCTCGTGGTCAAGTCTCCTAGGCGTTGTGGCTCTGCTTGTAATCCTAGCTACCAGGAGGCAGAGATGTGAGGATCTTGGCTGGAATCCAGTCCAGGCAGGAAACTCCACCAGACTCTTATCTCCAATTACCCGCCAAAAATACCGGAAGTGGAACTGTCAGGTGGTGGAGCACTAGCATTGAGCAAAAGCAGCTCAGGGACAGAGCCTAGATCTCGAGTTAAAGCCCCTGGAGGAGCGCACGCCCGTGTGTGTGTGCGCACACACACACACACACAGATGGGGTCTACTTGTCTTAAGATTCCCCACCAAGTGTGGGGAAGCATATTATGAAAGAATATCATTTGTTTGAATTCGGGAAGCATATTATGAAAGAATATCATTTGTTTGAATTCAGCTCAGTCATTTAATTGTCTATGTACCAGGGACAATTCTAGCTGAACAGCATATAAATTTATATTAATGCATGTGTGGGCAGTCTTATTTCACGAAAATGACAATCGTAAAAATTAGCTTCATTCTATTGTGGTGTAAATAGTGTATTTCAACAGGTCCTCTAATGTTTGACCCCAGCCATTCAGTTTTGTTATCATGGTACTCATACATATTATTTTCTTCCACAGCCAAATTGCTTGTTTTCATCTTTTCACATGTTTTATACCTTCCTCTTCTTTTTCTTTTATTCCTTGAAGTTTCTTCTACCTTACATATATGTATGCCTAAATTCATCAACTCTTTGGTGCACTTTTTTTTTTTTTTTTGGCTGAGTTGAGCAAAAAAGTTCACTGGTTCTCTGAACCTCTAGAACTTGTTGTTCATTCATAAGGAATTTCTGCCAATGCACTTTTTAAAACTAGGATTCTTCTAGTGTATCCAGATTTTAAATAAACTTTTAGGGGAAATTCTATAACTCATTTTGTTTCTTGTGCTCCTCCTGCATGGCCCTCCCTGTTTCTGACACATGGGGGAGGGGGGTGGTGGGAACATGAGGGAAGGAGGCAGCCTTACATGCTTTGCTTCAAGTTAGGCTTAAGGCTTAGCTGTTCTTTCCACTGGCACAAAAGTTGCTTTTAACTTTTGCCACAGTTTTCTTTTTCTGCTGTAAGCACCCCCCCACCCCCATTTGTGTTTTAAGTAACTTGGAAAACAAACAACAAGAGCAGATCTACAGACTCCGCTGGCTAGCACACACTGGGTACTTCCGTCCCTCCTTCCCATAAGAGTAGAGTAGGAGGAGGTGAGGGAGAGTCTGCATTGTCAGGTCAATTATTGTCAGCCTAGATTATTCACTAGAATTACAAGTTTTGTTGTCATTGTTCTGTGTGTTTTCAGTTGCTTTGTATATTTAAACCTTTTGAAGCTTCCAGTGAATTGGATAGCAGTGCTCCAGAGAATTACTGTTCTTTCTAGGCCACAGAGACACTGCTGGAACAGTGAATTATGTCTACTGTTTTAAGTGTCAGGTGTTTGGTCCTGTTCTATCAGAAAGAAGAATGGCTTTTCTTTCGATGGCATAAGAGTTGATAAATTATACTCTAGGGGTTTTAGGTTTTCATTGAGATTCTCAATCATCAAATGATACAGGCTCAAAACCTGTTGGAACTAGAAATTACTCTTGAAGATAGGGTTAGAGATTTGTAAATATTTATGGTCAGATCACTGCTTAGATATACATAAATGTTTTTTTTGTTTTTTTTTTTGCTGTTAATGGAGGTTTGAACATCAGGCCTTTTAGGCTTTTGTTCTTGTTCAAGGTTGCTCCTCGCCCACTTGAGCCACATCTCCCTGGCTTTTTGCTGGTTGTTAGGAAATGGAGTCTTGTGGACTTTTCTGAGATGTTACAGATCTAAGGCTCCTGAGTAGCTGTGCAGGCCTTGTCGTGAGCCACCATCACCCTCCCACCTGGTGGAGGTGGGGGGCAGTGGCATGTGTGCATGTGGGGCTTGAACTGGGGTTTAAGCACTGTTCCTGAGCTTTGCTCAAGTCTACCATTCTACCACTTACCACAGCTTCACTTAGGTTTTAGTGCTTAGTTGGTGAAAATCTGAGTATCACAGAAGCCAGCCCAGGCAGGAAAGACCGTGAGTCTTATCTCCAATGAGCCACCAGAAAACCGGAAATGACACTCAGGCTCAAAGTGCTACCCTTGGGCAAAATGGTTGAGGAACAGTGCTCAGGCCTTGAGTTCAAGCCTCATGACTGACAAATTTTTTTTTTTCTTAATAAAATGGGGGCTGGGAAGGTGGCTCAGTGTTTGCCTTGCATGCATGAGGCCCTGGGTTCGATTCCTCAGCACCACATAAGCAGAAAAAGCCAGAAGTGGTGCTGTGGCTCAAGTGGTTAAGAGTGCTAGCCTTGAGCTGAAGAGCTGAGGACAGCGCCCAGGCCCAGAGTTCAAGCTCCACCAGGACTGACAAAAAAATAAATAAAAAATAAAATAGTAGTGGGCTGTAAATTTCATATTTTCCAAGGACATAAGATGACATATGGTGGCCAACTTTATTTTTTGGTTGGTTGTGGGCTTGAACTCTGGGCCTGGGCGCTGTCCCTCAGCTCCTCAGCTCCAGGCGAGCACTCTATCACTTGAGCCAGTGTCACTACTGGTTTTCTGGTGGCTTTCTCAGGGGCTTTCCTGTTCTGGGCTGGCTTTGAACTGTGATCCTCAGATCTCAGCCTCCTGAGTAGCTAGGATGACAGGCGGGAGCCACCAGCACCTGGCTTTTTCACATTTAAGTACTCAGAAACCTTATCATTTCATATTGTGGCTAGCGGGTAAATCCCACTGTGAGGAGGGTTGGGAGCCTTGCTATGCTTGCTCACTTTTGTTCTCTAGACCTATTTGTTGATGGGTAGTACTTAATGCCACTGAAAAGAGAACATTTTAGTATAATCAAAGTATTTAGGACATGCTCTGGGAATAAGAAATAGTCTTTATAAAATTAAATAGATTGAGCTTTATGAAAGACTTTCTGTTTCAATTTCCTTATTTTTCTCATTTGGCCATTTGTAAAACAAAACATTCAGCACCCACACTGAATGCAGAAGTACTAAGGATCTAGAATCTGACACTCTTTAGCAAAAATACTGTGCTCATGTCTGAGAAAACAATAGCAAGGAACTTTTTATATGATTTGAATACTAATCATGAACTAGTTTTATTCTGTGTCATTTGTTTGACCATTTCACTCATTACTCTTAACTTTTCTGCCCAAGCCTGGGACTCTGATACCTGAACCACACCACAGCTCTCCTTCCAGCTTTTTGCTAGTACTTTGGTCAGTCTGCTCTGAATTGCCAGGCGTGCAAGCAGGAGTCATCAGCCCCAACCAAAACTCAGATTCTTTCCCCACCTGGTCCTGAGCCTTGAACTCTGGGCCTGGACACTGTTTCTAAACTCCTTTTGCTCAAGACTAGCACTTTACCACTCAACACCATTTTATTTCTGTTATTAATTGTAGATAAGTCTCCAATCCTCAGATCTCAGCCTCCTGACTAGCTAGGATTACAGGTGTGAGCTACCAGGGCCCAGCTTTCAAAGTCAGATTCTTAATTGTAGCAGAGTTGAATTGGAATTTGAGGCTTTGTAATCTGTATTTTGATTGTTGGGCTTGGTGGGAGAGATTTGGAGGTCATCTTAAACATGTGAAAAACTAGTATAAAAGAGTGAGTGCCAGTAACTGCAAATGATGTTTCTTGATAAGTGTAATCAGTTTTAAAGATGCTGTTGTATGTTGGGATGAGTATTAAGAAGGTAAAAAGTAAACCTGGTTCTGTGGTACACTTTGAAAAAAAATTTTTTTTTTTGGTTGGCTGTGGGACTTGAACTCAGGGCCTGGGCTCTGTCCTTGAGGTCTTTTGCCCAAGGCTAGTGCTCTATCACTTTGAACCACAGCTCCATTTCTGATTTTCTGATGGTTAACTGGAAATAACAAGTCTCATGGGAACTCCTCTGCTCCAGCTGGCTTTGAACCTGGATCCTCAGATCTCAGCCTCCATAGTAGCTAGGCTTACAGCCACTGGTGACTGGCCCAATTTTGGTATATTTTTTAATCTAGATTTATTGGTCAGCTTTGGATGTATGTAATTGTGCATAATTTGACCAGCCTGTATTGTTTTATTGGTAATTTCATGAGAGATTATCACCGCTTTGTTAAAATAAGAAAAAGGAATATCTCAAAGGTGCTCTTAACTGCAAATACCTTATAAATGTCTCCCCTATGCAGTTATTAGCACTCTCCTTTTCTTCTTACTAGAATATGAAATGACCTGACAAGGGTTCATGAATAGGTTGAGAACCTGAGTAGTTTATACATCATCCATTTAATAATCTGTGGTGAGTGTTTGCTTGCTTTTCTCTCTAATGATGATTGATTGTTGAGGCCTACCTTAAATTACTGATTCATCACTTGAGTGCTAGATCATAGTTCTAGATTAACCTAAGAAACAAGTTAAACTCAGGGGCTTTAACGTAACTTGGTTAACTTTTTTTTTTTTTTGTCTGTTGTGGGGCCTGAACTCTGGGCCTGGGCGCTGTCCCTCAGCTCTTCAGCTAAAGGCTAGCGCTCTACCACTTGAGCCACAGCGCCACTTCTGGCCATTTCTGCTTATGTGGTGTTGAGGAATTGAACCCAGGGCCTGATGCATGCAAGGCAAGCATTCTACCACTAAGCCACATTCCCAGCCCTCTTGTTTTTTAAAATAAGTGTTCAGCTGGGTGTCAGTGGTTCATACCTGTAATCCTAGCTATTGAGGAGGCCAAGATCAGAAGATCACTGTTGGAATCCAGCCTTGGGTAGGAAATCCTGTGAGCTTCTTCTCTCCAATTAACTACCAAAGGCCAAAAGTGAAGCTGGGAACACACATAACAGGCCTTGTTAAAACAGGAGTATCAAATCATTTAGTTAGAAGGTGACTTGTAAAGCAAAATAATATTTGGTGAAATACAGGATTTTTTTTCTTCCATCCTTTTCTGTCTTACAGCTTTTTCCTCCTACTTAAAAAAATGTTTAGCTATATCAAGAATATCAATCCTATAATACACACCAACACTTACACTACCACCAACAGTGATGACTGAAAACAAGAAAAATAAGGATCCAAGGATGGGAGTCACTTTTGTATATTATTATAAAGTCATCTGAAGCAGTTACTCTGATTGTACTGTCATATTTGATGTAAAATTAGTTATCTTCATTTTGCTCTTGTTTGTAGATGTTCTTTAAAAGTTTAAATACTTATAAAGTATTACCAATTTGAATGGAAAACTTAGTAAAACTTGAATTGTTTGTTCCTATTTTGCTTCTGTCTCTCCCAGTAGGCAATCAAAAATTTTAAAATCCTGGGCTGGGAAGGTGGCTCAGTGGTAGAGTGCTTGCCTTGCATACCTGAAGCCCTGGGTTCGATTCCTCATCACCACATAAGCAAAAAGAAAAAAAGCCAGAAGTGGCGCTATGGCTCAAACTGAAGAGCTGAGGGATAGCGCCCAGGCCCAGAGTTCAGGCCCCAGGACCGGACCCCCACCCCCAAAAAAATTAAAATCTTATTATTTTGTTTTATTGATGTTGGTACTGGGGCTTAAACTCTGGGCAAAGCTGCCTTGCCTTAAATTCCCCCCCCCCCCCCCCCGCCTTTTTTTTTTTTTCTGGTCGGTCATGGGGCTTGAACTCTGGGCCCAGGTGCTGTCCCTCAGCTCTTCAGCTCAAGGCGAGCACTCTACCACTTGAGCTGAGCCACAGCACTACTTCCGTTTTTCTGAGTGGTTTATTGAGTAAGACTCTCTGCTTTTCCTGCCTGGGCTGGCTTTGAACTTGATCCTTAGATCTCAGCTTCCTGAGTAGCTAGGATGACAGGCGTGGGCCACCCACCCGGCTTTCCTTAAATTCTTTATTTGCACTTTTTCAAAATACAGTGTCTGTGGGTTAAAGTTCTAGTTAAGAAAAGAAACTTTCAAATACTGAGCAGGAGCCAACACATGCTTGGCCGCTCTGGCCTGTAATCGCAGCTACTTGGTTTGAAGTCAGCCTGGGAAGGAGACTGTGAGACTATTTATTCTGAATTAACTACAAAAAGCTGGAAGTGGTTTTGTAGCTCAAGTGCTACAGCACTAGCCTGGAGCACTAAACTCCAGGATAGTGTCCAGTTGCTGAGTTCAAGCCCCAGGACTGTCACCAAAAACACAAAAAAGAATTTGTGAGTAGGTATTAGATTATTTGTGGCTGTATTGTTTACAGTGTTCTTTTTGTGTCATCTTTTTTTTTTTCTTTGTCAGTCATTGGGACTGAACTAACTCTGAGCCTGGGCGCTGTCCCTCAGCTCTTCAGCTCAAGGCTAGCGCTCTACCACTTGAGCCACAGTGCCACTTGCGGCTTTTTCTGCTTTCATGGTGCTGAGGAATCAAACCCAGGGCCTCGTGCATGCAAGACAAGCACTCTACCACTGAGCCACCTTCTCAGCCCATCTAACTTTTCTTTTAATGGAGTTTTATTGGGTACTGGTCGCTCACACTTGTAATCCTAGCTACCCAGGAGACTAAGATCTGAGGATCATGGTTCTAAGCCAGCCCAGGCATTAAGTCCCCATGAGACTCTTATCTCCAATTAGCTACTAGAAAACAGGAAGTGGTGCTGTGGCTTAAAGCGGTAGAGCACTGGCCTTACAAAAGAGCTTTGGGAATTCAAGCTCTAAAATGGTCCAAAAAAAAAAAAAGTTATTTTTTCCTAATCAAGCTGGCCACCAGTGCCTGTCATCATAGCTACTCAGGAGCTGAGAGCTGAGGGTTGTGTTTCAGAGCCAGTTCAGGCAGGAGAGTCCAGTAGACTAGCAAAAAAAAAAAAAAAAATCACCAAAAAACCAGGATTGGGACTGTGTCTCAAGTGGTATAAAGTACCAGCCTTGAGCAAAGGAGGTCATAGACTGTGTCCTGGCCTTGGTACACCAAAAACTAACCAGATTTTTGGTTTTTGTTTTTGGTCCATCATGGGGCTTGAACTTCAGGTTTAAGAGCTGTCCCTGAGCTCTTTTGCTTAAGGCTAGTGCTCTACCACTTTGAGCCACAGCTCTACTTCTGGTTTTCTGGAGATATAGGAGTCTGATTTTCCTACTCCGAATGAACTATGACCCTCAGATCTCAGCCTCATGAGTAGCTACGATTACAGGTGTGAGCCACCAGTGGGTGGCTGAATCAAGTTAAAAGAAATAGATAACCATGTATCTAAAATGGCATGTTAACATATAATTACAAATAGAAGTTAAGTCATGAGTTAAAGAGGAAAGACTTTTGCTTTAAATTTTTTTTTTGTCTTTTCTTTTTCAGTGCTGGGGCTTGATCCCTTGGAGTCAAGCTTGCTACACAAGTACTTTACCACTGAACTATATCTCAGCACTAAAGAGGAAAGACTTGTAAGGGCAAAGACCAAGTCTCATTGGCTCTCTTTTCCCACTGGTGAACACAAAACTGATGTGTTGTAGCAGTGTGACATTGCACTAGATCTCAAGAGTTGTGAACCTAGTTTAAGCTTTCCATAACAGGTCTTCTTTAACTTAGCCTTTGAAGATTCTAGTTTGAGATAAAAGGAGGGAGAATATGGCACAGAGTACTATTGAATATTCCTCCAGTTTGTCTAAGGTGGATTGTTACTTGGTCTGGTGAGTTTTAACTCATCTCAGTCTGGATAGATTCATGTCATCTTCACCCCAGTATATATGATAGGAAACGAAATAATTTTACTAAAATCTTTGCTTCCCTTTATCCCTTTAGGACACCTGCTACAAGACCCTATTGCACCTACCAACTCTACCTGCCAACACTATGTCTGCAAAACCTGTAAAGGAAAGAAAATGATGATGAAACCTTCGTGCAGCTGGTGCAAAGACTATGAGCAATTTGAGGAAAACAAGCAGTTAAGCATCCTTGTGAACTGCTACAAAAAACTGTGTGAATACATAACACAGACCACACTGGCACGCGATATAATTGAAGCAGTTGACTGCTCTTCTGATGTTTTGGCTTTGCTCAATGATGGATCATTGTTCTGTGAGGAGACAGAAAAACCCTCAGATTCATCTTTTACTTTGTGTTTGACACATTCCCCTTTACCTTCAACCTCAGAAGTCACGACTAATCCTCAAGCTAGTTTATCTCCAATGTCTGAAAGTACCCTCAGCATTGCTATCGGCAGTTCTGTTATCAATGGTTTGCCTACTTACAATGGGCTCTCGATAGACCGGTTTGGTATAAATATCCCCTCACCTGAACACTCAAATACTATTGATGTGTGTAATACCGTTGACATAAAAACGGAGGACCTGTCTGACAGCCTGCCACCTGTGTGTGACACAGTAGCCACGGATCTATGCTCCACCGGCATTGATATCTGCAGTTTCAGTGAAGACATCAAACCCGGTGACTCCCTCTTACTGAGTGTGGAGGAAGTACTCCGCAGCTTAGAAACTGTTTCAAATACAGAGGTTTGTTGTCCTAATTTGCAGCCAAACTTGGAAGCCACTGTATCCAATGGACCTTTTTTGCAGCTTTCTTCCCAGTCTCTTAGCCATAATGTTTTTATGTCCACCAGTCCGGCACTTCATGGGTTATCATGTACAGCAGCAACTCCCAAGGTAGCAAAATTAAATAGGAAACGGTCCAGGTCGGAAAGCGACAGTGAAAAAGTTCAGCCACTTCCAATTTCTACCATTATCCGAGGCCCAACGCTGGGGGCATCTGCTCCTGTGACAGTGAAGAGAGAGAGCAAAATCTCTCTCCAACCCATAGCAACTGTTCCCAATGGAGGCACCACACCCAAAATCAGCAAAACTGTCCTTTTATCTACTAAAAGCATGAAGAAGAGTCATGAACATGGATCCAAGAAGTCTCACTCTAAAACCAAGCCGGGTATTCTAAAGAAAGACAAAGCTGTCAAGGAAAAGCTTCCTAGTCATCACTTTATGCCAGGAAGTCCCACCAAGACTGTGTACAAAAAGCCCCAGGAGAAGAAAGGGTGTAAATGTGGACGTGCTACTCAGAACCCAAGTGTTCTTACATGCCGTGGCCAGCGCTGCCCTTGCTACTCTAACCGGAAAGCCTGCTTAGATTGTATATGTCGAGGCTGCCAAAACTCCTATATGGCCAATGGGGAGAAGAAGCTGGAGGCATTTGCTGTGCCAGAAAAGGCCTTGGAGCAGACCAGGCTCACTTTGGGCATTAATGTGACTAGCATTGCTGTGCGTAACGCTAGTACCAGCACCAGTGTAATTAATGTCACAGGGTCCCCAGTAACGACGTTTTTAGCTGCCAGTACGCATGATGATAAAAGTTTGGATGAAGCTATAGACATGAGATTCGACTGTTAAATCAGTGGGTCTTCAAACCTACCTCTGGTAGGGAAATAGCTACAGTTATACGGCAGCTATGGTTCTGTTGGTTTAACTTGCCAGAGCTCCTGCATATAGATCACTTGTATCAAGTGTTTTCATTGATAAGTTATATGTGTTAGTGTCGGGGAGATCGTTTTCAGATAATGGAGGAGTAACCCTACAACTGGTATGTTCTTAGTTCTTACAGAACCTCATAGTTCAAGAACAAATGCTGATGCAACTGATTTACACAGAATGAACTTTGGCAAGGAGAGTAACATTAACCTCATTGTTTCTGGCCATGCTTTGTGCATAATCAAAGTTGATGATTAAATGTAAGGAAGTGGTATCGAGTCAGTCCATATAGATTGTGAGACTCTTTTTGTGAAAAAGTAGCCACTAGTTTATCCCGAAGACTCAAGTGTAGCTCTCACGCCACACTGACGTTTCTTCTGTTGAAACGCTGATGTGCCCAGTTCAACTTTTGTGCTGACTATTTAATACCATTTCTAAGATCATGAAAATTAGCTACTGGTATGTAGCAGTTCTTAAATCAGCAGTATTATGGAAGAAAATTTCCCCCTCATTAGAATGTTTAAGAAATCTGTCTTTTGAAAAAAGTGTGAACAGACTGTCAGACTACAGATCCTTAGCCATTTTTCCTACAAAACTTTGAGCCGCCTGCCTTGCGAGGTCTGACTCATTTCTAGGGAAAAATTCTGAGATCCTTCCTTCACTTTGAGCAACGTTCTAATTGGATAAATGATGTGAAGAGCATTTATTCTGAAGGTATTTGAATTCAGACAGTAGTACATGACAATATTTTTTTTTTAAGTTTAAAGGTTTTATTTAGAAATTGGGATTTATTTGAAAATTTTTTGGAATAATGCCCCAAACATACCTATATTTATGCATTCTATTAATTGCCACTGGCCACTCTTCTCTTCTGTTTCTTTGCCACAGACTTTATTTTGAATATGCTCCTTTTTTTTTTTTTTTTTTTAGGGTGCTATTCATTATGCTGGCTTCTTTATCGGGGCCTACTAAAATGCCTTTTTATGAAGCCTGTGCAGTTAGGTAGGTCTAAAGCTAGGAGGATTTTCTTTAGAATGCTTTTTTGCATGTAAAGCACAAATTGTTTCAGTTTAAATGTAGTAATTCCCTTTAATTTTTAAGGGGAAAACAAACATTCTGTTGAAGGGAAATCTGGTCAGTTGTTTGAAGAGCACAGCCCAAGTAGACGAGGACTGACTAGGTGTAGAGACAACCTTGATTCTAAAGAGTTGCTACTTTGACAGTGCTTACTGTAAGAACATACTGCTGGGAAGATCCCAGTTCCTATTATGTCTCCAGATCTGACAAGTGTTGGAGTTATGTTTTGATTTGGCACACAGCATGTTCAATGATGGTTACTCACCTCGTACAAGACATGGAGAAGAATCCTTTGGACACAGAGCAGATGACACCTTCTTCTGTTTTGTAGTGTATCCTGGTGTCATTTTCTGTGAATGTGGTCAGGTAGAGTTGTTTTGTTGTCTTTTTGTGTGTGTGTGGGTGTGCGCGTGCGTGTGCGTTTTTTTTTTTTTTTTCCTTTTGGTCTCTTTGGTGGGGTGGGGGTGGGCTAAAGCCATAGGAAGAAAAATGTGATGTATGTGTCCCGTATGTACTATTTTGTTTTTGTTTTGCAAGAAGAGTTGAACTATTTTTGATAACAAGAGTAAATGGTGGAAAATGCTTCTTAGTTGTCTTGTCTTTATTTGCTTTCCAAGTTTTGGAATTTTATTTAATTCCTCTAAGTGTTAGCTGTGTCTTAATGAAAAATGTATTTACCTAAAGTTTGTAACAGTTTTGTGTTGAACCCAGATGCCCTGCTATATAAACTTGTAAATCTGTTCTTTATTCACTAATGATCACTGCAAAAATGACTAGAAATGAAATTGTACACATGGATGATTAGAATATATTTTGCAAATCTCCCAAACTTTCCTAATACTATGATTTTAAAATTATGGAGTACTTTATTGCTTCCCAGGTTTGATAATCTTAGTTTTGTGTTTTTTTGATGCATGGGAGGTTGGCAATATAGGCAAAGTGGAAATCATTAGTATGTGAGGACCTTGATTGTTATGTAATATTGCCAATGATGAATTCAGGTTGTTTTTAGCACAAGTTTCTCTTTTTTATGCTGGTATTCTCACTGCCACACTTTTGAAAACCTGTATTACACCTTAAATCTATCAATAAATGATAGTTTTCTAATTGTATGTTGTAGAATACTGAGGAGTTTGGGACAGCATGCTGTAAACGGTCTGTACTAATTTGGGGAAGAAGAACTATATTGCTTTGGTTTTCACGTTTGTCTTTACGCCATGAGTTGTTTAGGAATTCTGACCGATGACTGACAAGGGGATTACTACTTACTGGGTGTCCTGGACTTCCCCTCATCAGGCCACAGAACAACCAAACCAGAACAGCACTTAGAACAGCCCATCCTGAGTGTCGTCCTCAGTCCTCATTGCCATCATGTTACTACTATTATTATTTCAGTCCTTATGATCAGAAATAACCAAGTTGTCTTTTACCTTAGGCAATAGTTTTGCAGCTGACAGTTCTATCATTTTGGTTAACTTAAGCTCAGCTCTTCTGTACTGTAGAGATGCAGTATGGTTCTTGGGGAGGAATTCCATTTACTTCCTTTTGTTGTTTTCTTGAAATGACTCCACGGTTACCTTACTGAAGAAAAGTAGAAATTTTATAACATGAGAAATAAAATTGTCTTTGAAACATTTTATAGGTAACTAAGTGCTTTAGGAAACATTCAAATTCTGGTAGCGTCTTTATGTACTTTGGACAGTAATTTCTTTTTCTACTACTTTACAAATTTTAGGTACCAAATAACATGCAAGTATACACATTCTTTGAACATAACACATGACGGATAAGCTAGTGCCCCCTCTAACGCCTGTGAACCCTCACCTCTGTACCTTGGCCAACCCTATCCCAAGTGGAAAGCACTTCTCAGGTTGAAATATCCTTCCAGATTTTTTATTTTTTAGCTGGTTGTGGGGCTCGAACTCGCCCTGGGCACTATTCCTTGAACTCTTCCCAAAGTGCTAGTGCTCTACCACTTTGAGCCATAGTGTCACTTCAGGTGAAATTTCTGGTGGTTATTTGGAGATAAGAGTGTCATGGACTTTCCTGCCTGGGCTCGTTTTGAACTGTGATCCTCAGACTTCAGCCTCTTAAGCAGCTAGCATTGCATTACAGGCTAGATTGTGTGTGTGTGTGTGGGGGGGCAGTTGTGGGTCTTGAACTCAGGGTCTGAGCGCTGTCCCTCAGCTCTTCAGCTCAAGGCCAGAGTACCACCTGAGCCACAGCGCCACTTCCAGTTTTCTGGTGGTTCACTGGAAATAAGTCTCCCAGACTTTCCTGCCCGGGCTGGCTCTGAACTGTGATCCTCGGAAGTCCGTCTCCTGAGTAGGGTTACAGGCATGAACCACCAGGGCCCAGCCATGCTAGATTTAAAACCAAAACAAAACTTTTCTTCATAGTGTTCCCACCACAAAGAGTTACTCTATTTGAAACTTGTTTGTCTACAGCATTACGCAGACGTGAAATTTTGTGACTGAACAAAAATTATGTGATTAGTGAATAAGATTCATCTATTTGTCAACCTTTATTGTTTTGCAAAAAGAACAAGTCATGCAGCCTTCTCCACCCAAACACACATTTTCAAAAGCTGAGAAAATGACATTTTGTTGGACAGATCTATTAAAAAAAAAATACCTCGAAACAGTACATAGTAACATAAAATGGAGGGGAAACAGTTTTATTTGATTACCTGGGCAACTAATGTTATGCAAGGTCATGATAACTCAGTTTCTCTTGTATCAAGGCTCCTGGGGTATTGTAATGCTTGCAATTTACAGTTTGGTAGAAAGGAGTATAACCTTCGTCCTCAGAATTTATACTCATTGCATTCAGCTTAAGAAAGGAGTATACTGAAATACATGCTTGTAATTCTTGAGCTAACCAAAATGAAAATGTCTCTTCTAAATGGGATCAGATTTTTAGAATTCAATTATTGACCAAACTGTGGACAAGAGAATTTCAGTTAGGAGAAACAAGGTAAGACGAGGGCTGGGGCTGCAGCAGTTGCCTGGCTGTGCAATGCCCTGGCTTTCACTGCTGGCATGGCAAGCAAGGAAAACAAAGGTTACATGTGGCTGCAGAGTGGCTAGGTGAGGCCTAAGCAGCCCAGCCCTACATTCATTTAAATAGTATAAAACTTGAGTTTTGTTTTTTTACTTTTTGGTGAATCAAATAATTTGAATCACTATGGATAGCGAAATATTCATACCATATTTGATTTCTCAAAAAGTTTTAACCTTGTGTGTTTTCATCTGGCACTAAAGAGTGTTGCTTTTCTTCCCTGGTAGAAGCTGGGATGGAACTGGTGGAAATTTCATGTGTCACGATCCATTTGGAGACAGGATCAGAGTGCCCTCACGCCTGCTGAGTGCTGAGAGTACAGGCTTGTGCCCAAGTCCAGAAAAATACTTAAAAATCCATCTTTTGAACTGTTAAATGGAAGATTAGTTCTAATGAAGATAAAAATCCCACCAGGAATCTGGCTTGGATATTGATAGGCAGAATTCCTGGGGTTGCTCATATGTTTTAGTTGATATATATTTCTTAAATTATCCTGTTCTTCATTTCCTGTCTGTCATAGCCCAAGGTCTGATTATTGGTCAAAGGAACCAAGGTGGAGGGCAGAGAGAGGCTGTCAGGATACTTTCAAGCCTGGCCACAAGTAACTAGGAGAAAAGTTGATGGCTCTTGACAGAGATGACTATTGAAGTCATTCAGTGAGGGCTTCTTGTATTAGAAATGTCCATCCTTTTTTAGTCTTTTTCTTTGCATCCCTCTTCCCACCCTGGCTATTATGGGATTTGGTGGCACTGTGACCTGTTGGGAAGCATAAATTTTGAAGTGAACATAATTGCCATCACAATAAGAGCTTCACCCCTCCCCCCCAACCTCATGCTATCACTTTTCTTCCATTTCTGTGGTGTCTGGAATAGTAGATTTGAGTTTACTTCCAGTTTAATCTTGGTGACATGAAGAAAGCAGTATATCTAGAAGAATTTTTTCTTTTCATAGAGTATCTCACCATTCCTTTTAAGGCTTTAGGTGGGCCAGCTAGAAAATAAAAGATAATGAACTTATAGATTAAGAAATCATTCAGTAATTCTATGCAAATGTGTAAGTTAGAAGGCTTGCTGTTTTCAAGTATGAGCCAAATTCTATACTAGTCTTCATTTTCAAGGATTTTTTGTTGTTGTTGAGATTTTTATCCAGTCACGATGGGGAGGCTGCCACTGCTTGTCAGCCAGATTGGAAGGCCCAGTGGTTTACAATACCTGAGGATGTAAAGTGACTAGTAGATCGGTAGGTCATCGTGAAATTACATTAAACCAGGTTAAGTTCAAGATCTTTGAACTCCAGTACACATAATTAACAGAAGTCTCTGAGATGTTTTGGCAGTGCTTTTATTACTAGGGCTACGTCAATTCTAGAGGCCCATTTAATACTTTTCAAGTTCCAGAATCTTTTTTTTTTTTTTTTTTTTTTTTTGACTCAAGTTTTCTGCAAATGAAGGTTTCTTTTAGGCTCCATAGGAGCCCTGAGAGGTCTTAGGGAAGCTGGCCAACATTAAGGCAGTTTCTGCTGGGCTCAGCACTGTCCCCAAGAGAGCGGTGGTGCATTCAGGGGTGCAGACGTTGGAAGGTAATGATCACCGTTAGGTTGGTTCACCTCTGAGGAAAGCCTCTGCAAGAAGTCTGAGCAAGCTCAAGGAGTCTCCTGAGGTGAAAGGTTATCAGCCTGGAAGTCTGCAGTGCAGATAACACATTTGGAGGGATCAAAGCCTTTTTAAAAAAGCAGTATGCAAACTATGGAGCATCTCTTGACAAGGACAGGTATTTGAAATGCATTTACGTCTTCCTTTCGTGTGACAGTGGCAGCTACTCTTCATCCACTGACTGAAGCTTGCCACATTTCTCTGAAAGATTTGAGGTTCCTGTTTTATTGCCTTTGTTTCCAAATTCAGAGGGGGAGGCAGGTTCATCTGTTTCATATTCCTCAAAGGAGCTGAAAGAGCAAAGCAAAAGTAAGTTGCTGATTTTTTTCTTTTGTATTGGAGTTTGAACTCAGGGCCTCTCGATGGATTGGCTGACTTACTTGGCGGGTACTCTACCATTTGAGCCATACCTCCGGTCTCATGAATTTTTCTGTTCGGCTATCAGCCTCCAGAGTATCTAGGATTATAGGCCTGAGTTACCAGTGCCTGGTTGGTTGCTGATTTTGTGTGTGTGTGCAGGTCCTGTCTGATTGCTGTCCCTGACCTTTGTCCAAGGCTAGCACTCTACCACTTGAGCCACAGAGCCATTTCCAGCTTTTTGGTGGTTAGTCTTACTGATTTTACTGCTTTGAACCGCGATCCTCAGATCTCAGCCTCCTAAGAAGCTGGGATTACAGGTGTGAACCACAGATTTTTTTTTTTTAAGTTAATGGCTGTGCAGGGGTTATTTTGGCAAACCAGCCTGAGGCCCTGCTTAAGTACCATTAGTTGCTTTATAAATGGCAGCTAGAAACACGTGAGTTGCCCAGGAGGGCAGAGCTAGCACGCTAGAGCAGAAAGCACATTTCCTCCTGTTTTTTGTGGGTCTTTTTGGTGTGGTTTTTTTTTTTTTTTTTAATTGACCATAGGGCCTGAACTCTGGGCCTGGGCACTGTCCCTCAGCTCTTCAGCTCAAGGCCCAGCACTCTACCACTTGAGCCACAGCACCACTTCTGGCTTTTTCTGCTTCTATGGTGCTGAGGAATTGAACCCAGGGCCTCATGCATGCAAGGCAAGCACTGTACCACTGAGCCACCTTCCCAGCCCTCCTCGTTTCTTTCTTTTTTTTTAAATTGGTCATGGGGCTTGAACCCTGGGCTTGGGTGCTGTCCCTGCGCTCTTTGGCTCAAGGTGAGAGCTTGAGCCATAGCGCCATTTCCGGTTTCCTGGTGGTTTATTGGAGGTGAGAGTTTCACGGACTTTCCTTACCTGGGCTGGCTTTGAACTGGGATCCTCAGATCTCAGCCTCCTGAGTAGCTAGGATGATAGGCGTGAGCCACCGATGCCCGGCCCCTCCCTGTTTCTTAAAACTCCAGTCCACAATAGAATTTGTTGCAAATATGCTGCAGCAAGCTTTCACTAAGGGAAAGGTCATGCACACCCCCCTGTGTAAGTTACCAGCCTCCCTTACACATGGCTTTAGGCACAGATGTGAGTGGATGGTGCATATTCTGAGGCTGCATGAAGCCCAGAAAGGTACCCATGAACATTTACTAAGTAATGTTTAGTCATTTACTCGATACCATTGGCTTATCTTGTTTACCAGTGTTTTGCAGGTGGTGCTGAGGACTGAATCCCAGGCCTCTTACACGCAAGGCCACCACTCCCTGTCTGCCTTGCTCCCCTTTGCAGGAACCTACATTTGAACATAGATTTCTGGACAGGAGCCCACCAAAAAGTCACCAAGGTCAACTGATGCCAACCATTCCAAGGTAGGTACAACTAATAGGTGGCATCTCTTCCAAGTTTGGAACTTTTTTTTCATGGGGTGAGAGGAAGGAGTGAGGGAAGACCAGTGATAGGAGCTGAACCCAAGGCCTTACATGTACCAACGGACGGTAAACTTATCCCTTTCTTTATCTATTTATTTTTTGGTTGGTCGTGGGGCTTTGAACTTTGGGTCTGGGCGCTGTCCCTCAGCTCTTCAGCTCAAGGTGAGTGCTCTAACACTTGAGCCACAGGGTCACTTCGAATGACCTTATCAAAAATTATTTATAGCTTGATCATTTCACAAAAACAGCCCATCCCAGCAGGGTGCCGGTGGCTCACACGTGTCATCCTAGCTACTTAGGACGCTGAGATCTGAGGAATGTGGTTCAAAGCCAGCCCGGGGAGAAAAGTCTCCGTGATCCTCTTTATCTCCAATGAACTGGAAGTGGTGCTGTGTCTTAAGTGGTAGAGCACTAGCCTCGAACACAAAGAGGCTCAGGGACAGCATCTAGGCCCTGAGTTCAAGTTTCACGCGCACACACGCCCATTCCATTCTTTTTTTTTTTTTTTTGGGGGGGGGGGTCCAGTCTTGGGGCCTGACCTCTGGGCCTGGGTGCTGTCCCTCAGCTCTTCAGCTCAAGGCTAGCGCTCTACCACTCGAGCCACAGCACCACCTCTGGCTTTTTTTTCTCCTTTTTGTTTATGTGGTGCTGAGGAATCGAACCCAGGGCCTCAGGCATGCAAGGCAAGCACTCTACCACTGAGCCATCTTCCCAGCCCCGCCCATTCCATTCTTTTTTGTTTGTTTGTTTTTTTTTGGGGTCAGGTTGTGGGGCCTGACCTCTGGGCCTGGGCGCTGTCCCTCAGCTCTTCAGCTCAAGGCTAGTGCTCTACCACTTGAGCCACAGCGCCACTTCCAGCTCTTTTCTTTTTGCTTATGTGGTGCTGAGGAATCGAACCCGGGGCCTCAGGCATGCAAGGCAAGCGCTCTACCACTGAGCCACCTTCCCAGCCCCTCCATTCTTATTTCTACTACTTCTCCACATTCCTGAGGCCTAATGGAAGTGTATTTGCAAAAAGAGGCACTAGAACAGCAACTTAGTTCTAATAGTTGGGAAGGGCAGGTTACAGAGCCTCCTTTTGGGGAATATTCTCAGAAGTTTACTCTAGCAATCATTTGCCAGAACTGTGGTTATTTTTTTGTCAGAATGGAAGACATAGTAGGGCACTACTCAGGAGGCTGAGATCCGAGGTTGAAGCCAGCCCAGGCAAAAAAGTCCCAGTGGCTCATCTCTATTACCAAAAAGAAAGCCAGAAGTGGAGCTTTGGCTCAAGTGGTAGAGTACGCTAGCCTTGAGCAAAAAAAGTGCAGGGACAGTGCAGGTCCCGGGCTTCTGCTCCAGGACCAGAACACAAAAAAGTTCACTGTCATCCTTTGCACTTTAGGAAGGACTTATTTCTCAGTGTAACAGGACAAATGTAGGGAGAAACAGCAGACACACTTGCTACTCCCAGTAGGAAACAGGATCCTCCACACCTGTCTACTCAGGTGGAGGAAGCAGCTGTTCCTCTGTGGCTGGGAGTTAGTTCTTGGTCTAACAGTTCACTTCCTGGCCTTGCTTACCACAGTCAGGCTGTTTTGCCACACCAGGATGGATGGTGGTCTGGGGATCTGATTGCTCCAAATACCCCATCTCATGTAGTATGTCGCCCAAGTTTCCCAATTCCTTGCTACTCACCTACCCCTGGTGCTTTTTTTTCTTTTAATCTTATTATCCTTAAGCACCACCATCTTTTATTGAGAGGTCAGTAAAGGCTTCCTGGTCTTCCTACTTATCCATCTCTCCAATTGAGCAGAATAATGTTCAAAAACCCTAAGTGAGATGATGTCACTTTCCTGCTGAATCAGCATCCCCAGACCCTACCTGGCTTCTTTGCAGTATTTCCTGCAATTGCTCACCACATTCAGGCCACATTCCCCTTTCTATGGCTTCCCTAGCATGCGTGTGCTGCTCAGAACCAATGCGCCTGCTTTTCCTTCTGGAGCATTTGTTCACTGAGGTTGGTATCATGAAATTCCCTTTGGCATCTGCCTAAGCCTACCTACCCTCTATTAGTGGCTCATTACCTATTGCCTTCAGACTTAATGTTTTTCTGGCTGTGGTCTCCATACTGGCTGGTCTGCTTTGTAGGGTTTGCAGCCTTGTACCTATGAAGACCTCGGGCCTCCTTCACCTGAGCCCAGGAGCTACTGGATGATGAAGAGGCCTTATAGACTGGGTCTCTTTCCAGTCGGGCAGTGGTAACAGGTGCTGTTACCGGAAGCCAGGTGTTTCTATATATTATTTCAGGTTCTCACAACCGCCTGTATCTTCTGAACCCGAGCCCCAGGAGTCAGATAACCTGCCCAGCTGGCGAGTGGGCCAGATCTGTCTGGCTCCTGAGCCTCTGCACTTTCCATGATACCAACGTTCTTCCTTCCTCTCTACTATGGGTGTGGCGATGTCGGGCTTGTCCTGAAGTCCCAGGTGGGGCACCCTTGGGATCTAGGGCCTAGCCTTGCTGCTATCCTAGCACTGGCTGTGCAAGCTGGGGCTGGGTTAAGCTTTCGCTCCCGTGTTCTGGGGAGGCGTAGCTGCCTCCCAGCACAGCATAGGAGAGGAGAGGAGACGAGCGTCTCAGGTGCACCGGTTGAGTTTCACTCTAGCTGGTGTCTGCATCTCCTCTCCTGACCCTTCACCCCTACCTACTCTGCCTGTGTCCTCTCTTCCATGTATTGGCGCCTTCTGCTGTAGCCACAACTTGAGAAAGATGTTCACTTGAGCCAGTTAATTCTTTCTCTTCACCAGCTACCACTTGCTCTCGTTTTTTATTCAAACATATTTCTGTTTAGACATGCTAATTTCTCCTTTCTTTGAAGCAGGTTATAGTAGGTGCACTTTTGTAAAACAGATTATTTTGGAGAAAGGGTGTAAAGCCCGATTATGTATTTGCATCAAAATGTCTAGGATATTATTCCTAAATAATAAAGCAAAACTGTTTCTGGGTGGTGGGTTTTTAGGTGAAGGTTTTTATTTCTAACTTCTCTGTATTATGTAAGCAGATAATAGGAAAAAATAATTTTCCTATTAATATATGCTCATTATACAAACCTTATAAATTACAGGAAAGAATACAAACCCACAGCAGTCCCCCAGCTCTTGAGTGAAGTCACTGCCAGTTTTTGGGGTTGTTTTCATCTATACTTGTTAGAGTCAGGTCGAGGAATTTATCTTACACATAAAAATAATGATGTAAAAAGGAGTAATAACTACAACACTATGATTTCCAATAGGGAACTGTTAGAGGTATGTCAATCCATATAATGGCTCAACTCTACAGCAGAATAAGGAAGAATCACTAGGTAACATTATGGAAGAGTCTCCTACTAGTATATTACTAAGTTTGGCAGAAACAAGGTACTGAGCAATGAATAATATCTATTTGGGAAATAAATATGCACAAGTCTACATTTTACAAATGTCCACAGAGATGCTTCCGGGGAAGGAAAACTACTTTTTGGCGCTGTCCCTGTGCTCTTCAGCTCAAGGTGAGAGTGCTCTATCGCCTGAGTCACAGCGATAATTGGAGATAGTCTCATGGAGGGGCTGGGAAGTTACCTCAGTGGTAGAGCGCTTGCCTTGCATGCCTGAGGCCCTGGGTTCGATTCCTCAGCACCACATAAGCAAAAAGAAAAAAAGCCGGAAGTGGCGCTGTGGCTCAAGTGGTAGAACACTAGCCTTGAGCTGAAGAGCTGAGGGACAGCGCTCAGGCCCAGAGTTCAGGCCCCACAACCGGACCCAAAAAAAAAAAAAAAAAGTCTCATGGAGTTTTCTGCCTGGGCTGGCTTTGAACCGTGATCCTCAGATCTCAGCCTCCTGAGTAGCTAGGATTACAGGCGTGAGCCATTGTTGCCTGGCTTAATATTTATATGTTCTTTGGTTAGTTGTGGGTCTTGAACTATGGGCCTCGGCACTGTCCCTCAGCTCTTCAGCTCAAGTCCAGCACTCTACCACTTGAGCCAAAATGCCACTTGGGTTTTCTGGTGGTTAATTGGAGATAAGTCTCAGGGACTTTCCTGCCTGGGCTGGCTTTGAACCATGATCCTCAGATCTCAGCCTGCTGAGTAGCTAGGATGACAGGCGTGAGCCAAAGGCACCCGGCAAGTTTATGTGAATATTCTGTCACATTATATTCAGTATATGAGGGCAAAGCCTCAGAGACACAGGGTAAAGGGAGATAAGAGGACTTGCTAAAAGTCACTAGAAAATGGTGGGAAAAAAACAAGTTATAAAATTGCTAATTATGTTCCAAGCAGTGAAATTCTTACTCTACTCCCTTTCTTCTCTCCTTCCTAGGGCCTCGAGTGCTTGCTAGGTAGACAGACACTCTACAACTTGAGCTATACTCCCAGACCTTTTTTGCTTTATTTTTAGTTGGTTGTGGGCTTGAACTCAGAGCCTGGATGCTTTTCTTGAGCCTCTTTGTGCTCCAGGCCAGTGCTTTACCACTTGAGCCACAGCACCACTTCCAGCTTTCGAGTGGAGCTAAGAGTCTAATGGGGACTTTTCTGCTGGGGTTGGCTTTGAACTGTGATCCTAAGATCTCAGCCTCCTGAGTAGCTAGGATGACAGGCTTGAGCTCTTTTGTGCAAAGCTAGCACTCCATCACTTGGAGCCACAAGGCCACTAAGGTTTTCTGAGGGTTAACTGGAGGTAAAGTCTCATGGGACTTTTTTTTTTTTTGGGTCCGGTCGTGGAGCCTGAACTGTGGGCCTGGGCGCTGTCCCTCAGCTCTTCAGCTCAAGGCTAGCACTCTACCACTTGAGCCACAGCGCCAGTTCCGGCTTTTTTCTTCTTGCTTATGTGGTGCTGAGGAATTGAACCCAGGGCCTCAGGCATGCAAGGCAAGCACTCTACCACTAAGCCACCTTCCCAGCCCTCTCATGGGACTTTTGTGCCTGAGATTCTCAGCCTCCTGAGTAGCTAGGATGACAAGTGTGAACCACCAGCGCCGGGCCTATCATCTTCATTACTTAAAGGAACAGACAGTTGGAACAGGAGGCAGGAAGATAAAGCCAGCTCCTTAAACTATGGGGCTCACAAATATCAATACAGGAGGGTGTGGCTGCCCCTTCACCTTAGATTCTGTGAAAGAAAGGCACAGCTTTTTGAAGGAAATTGCACATGAGAAAGTAAGCAGGAACTCAGGAAAGGAAGACAGCTAGAAGTAATCAGTGACCTAGCTCCATCGCTCATATTCTTTTGCTCTTCCAGTCTGATACATACACAGGGGCTTTGAGGCAGTATGAATTCCTACCGTGGACAGAGCTGTGCAAGGTTCCGCTGGACCAGGGCGGCCTACTCACCCTTCCTGGAGTTGTGCCTGGGCGGCCTCTTCAGCCACCAGAGCCTCGTATTCCTCCGCAGCAAACCTGTCCCAGTCGGAGGGCTCTGGCCCATCGTTGTCAACATCCTGAAAGAAGAAAAAACCCGGCATGAGACAGGCTCAGGGACAGTGCCCAGGCCCAGAGTTCAGGCCCAATGACCAACAAAAAGAAAAAAAAGGGAATAAAAGGCAAACTTTCTTTTCTACATATAGCAGTGTCTTGGATTCTGTGTTCCAGGGAAAAATTTAAAAATGTGGTTCCAAACTGAAAAGGAGTTAGTAATGCCCCAGGCCTGGAAGAATTTAAAACCTAAATACTGACCATAGAATGTATTACTTTTCAAGCCCCACGACTGACCAAAAAAAAAAAAAGAATATTACTTTTTACATTCAATCCATTAGTTTGTCTTCTTCTTTTTTTTTTTTTTGGTCGGTCATGGGGCTTGAACTTGGGGCCTCGGCGCTGTCCCTGAGCTCTTCAGCTCAAGGCGAGTGCTCTACCACTCGAACCACAGCGCCAATTCTTGTTGTCTGGTGGTTCATTGTAGATAAAAGTCTCCCAGACTCTCCTGCTGGGGCTGGCTTTGAGCAGTGATGCTCAGATCTCAGCCTCCTGAGTAGCTAGAATGACAGGCATGAGCCACCGGCACCCGGCTTCCATTAATATTTCTAAAATGCATCTTAAGCTTGAGATTGGGAATTCCTTTTTCTTTCTGGTATAACAGAGCCCTTGGGAGCCTTCGGGTCACAGCTGTTCTCTGAGGGTTACTATCAGTGACCGAGGCCCAGCAGATGTGCAGCAGGTGTTAAGAGGAAAAGTGCTGAAAGCTCCCTGTGGTTGAGTGATGGGCACAGCCCTCCTTAGCTGTGCAGTGTTTGTATCTTACACAGGAAAGCTGCAGCAAGTGGTGATATTCTGTGTTTGGTATGCCCAGAGTTAATGGCAGGTGCAGCAGGGTCTTGTACATGGGAAGATGCCATGAGATGGGGCAGCATTTAGGACAGAGTCACACACAGGAGCCCCAGCATGGGTAGATGCGTGTAGTTCTCTGAAGTGTGTCTGCATCTCCCCCCTGAAGGGGAGTTACTCACTATGACATCTCCAAGACACGTGGTCCCATTACGCCAAGCCCAACAGGGTTCCAACAAAGACATGCCACTGATGTCTTTTTAAAAGTTAGGATAAAGTTTTCAACACTAACTTTCTGCAGCTAGTTTCTCACTGGCGTTTGAGAGTTGGCTCAGTGGAAAGTACTCAGGCACATGCAGATCACTTACACTGGAAGACAGGCTGTGGGCACAGAGGTGTTCTTGGTGTTCTCTCTCCTTCCCCATTCTTCCCCACTTTTCTCTGATGCTGGAGACTGAATCTGGGCCTCAAGCTTTCTAATCTTCTCATTAAGTGAGGAACTATTGGAAACGTCAGTTCTTTAAATGTGGAGACTCTTCCATACAGATGCGAGTCTCATCTGTAGCCTTGGCCCTGCTCCTGAAGCACCCCAAAAGCTCATCTTATACTGGTACCTTCTGCACTGCGAAGGGATCTCTCTGCTCATGGTCCAGGTACTTCTCCAGGTTAAAGAAAGTATCATAGAAGATGTGAGCCATCCTGCACCTCTTCAGATCCCGCAGAGTAATTCTGCCTATGCAAACACAAACGCACCTGGTAAGTTTCACCAACTGATGCACCACCTATGCTGAAAAGGGCATGTGTATCTTTATTACAAAACTCACATGTAAAAATCATAAGTCGGGGGGCTGGGAAGGTGGCTCAGTAGTACAGTGCTTGCCTAGAATGCATGAAGCCCTGGGTTCGATTCCTCGATACCATTTACACAGAAAAGGCCAGAAGTGGTGCTGTGGCTCAAGTGGCAGATCTCTAGCCTTGAGCACAGAGGCTCAGGGACAGCGCCCGGGCTCCGAGTTCAAGCCCCACAAGCTACGGGGGCGGGGGGAGAGGGGGAAGGAGGGAAGCTCCTATTTCCTTAACAGTGGATCTGCCATCTCTGCTGTCTAGGAGACATGTTCTCATTTCTACAGTTGGGGAAGCCTGTACCGAAGACACGGAAGGTTAAGTTAGGACAACGTAGGGTGTGTGGGCCCCACCTCTGCCAAGTGCGGTTCACTGAGTCTCACCATCTCTGGCTGGCTTCACCAGGTCAAGCATCTGGCACAGCAGGTCATGGAACGGCAAGGGTTCAATGCCCATGGCTTCCATGCGCTCGCACTGCTCCTCGTAGAAGTACTCCAGCTCATACATGGAGAGGACGCCGTCCCCGTCCAGGTCCATGCACCGGAACCAGTACTCGATGCTAGGAGACAAGGGTGGTGCTTGTGAGTTGTGGGCCTGTGCTGCTTGCATCCCACAGCTGCCTCTGTCCACATCTGTCCTCTCTAGACAGATGCTTGAGAAAAGAACTGGCCGACCGACCCTCTTTCCCATTTTCCCATTCCCAGAACCTGCAGCTTTCCACGCCTGGTGGCTGCTTTGTACCCTGTTCAGCACACAGCTCTGCTTTATCTGGTGCTCTTTGAAAGAGGAGGTTTCAGCTTTCCCACTTCCAACCACTTCATCTGTATACCCTTTCCAACTTCCTAACAGAAACTGCTCAAGGAGAGTTTTCAGCTTTTTGTTTTGTTTTAAAGACAATTTTATGGTTACTATTAAGGTGGTATAGGGAGGACTTACCATTTCCTAAGTCAGGTAATGAGTACAATTCTTAATCCACTCTCACGCTGCCAGCCCATCTTGTCTACACTGAACCCATCAGGTCTTCTAGCAACTGTGCTTGCTTGCTTGCTTTTCTTTTTTCTTTTTGGTGTTGCCCTGGGTTTTGATCTCAGCCTGGGTGCTGTCCCTGAGCTCTTTTGCTCAAGGCTAGTGCTTTACCACTTGAGCCACATCTCTACTTCAACTTGTTTATTGGAGATAGTTTCACAGAATTTCCTGTCCTGGCTGGCTTCCAACCACAACCCTCAGATTGCAGCCTGTTTAGTGGTTAGGACTAAAGGCGTGAGCCACCAGCACCCGGCTTTTTTTTTTGCAGATAGTCTCACAGACTCTTCTGCCTTTGCTGACCTTAAATGAGAATATGCATCTCAGACTCAGTAGCCATGACAAAGGCACGAGCCTGTTAGCTAGCTCTTTTCCAAGAACCAACTCTGTTTCTTTGATTCTTTTTTTGGGTCTGTTGTGGGCTTGAACTCTGGGCCTCAGCTCTTGAACTCAAGGCTAGTGCTCTACCACTTGAGCCACAGTGCCACTTCTGGCTTTTTCTGCTTCTGTGGTGCTGAGGAATTGAACCCGGGGCCTCATGGATGCAAGGCAAGCGCTCTACCACTGAGCCACCTTCCCAGCCCATCTTTTTATTATTTTTTTGTTGTTGCTGGTCCTGAGACTTGAACTCAGGGCCTGGGCACTGTCCCTGAGCCTCTCTGTGCTCAAGGCTAGCACTCTACCACTTGAGCCACAGTTTTTTCTGTGTTATGGGGTACTGAGGAATCGAACCCAGGGTTCATGCACACTAGGCAAGCACTCTACCACTAAGCCACACTCCCAGCCCGTTTTTTTTTTATTCTTACAGTCTCTATTTCATTAATTTTGGCTCTAATCTTTATTATTCCTGTACATCTACTAATTTTGGGCATGTTTTATAGTCCAGGAGCCTGAGATACATTATGTTATTTGAGATTTCTTTGATAGTTTAAAATTAGCACCCATAGCTATGAGCTTCCATCTAATAAATGCTTTTGCTGAATCCTATAATTTCTGATATATTTTCATTTTCATCTGCTTCTAAGATTTTTTACAAGTTCCTTCCTTAAATCTGTCATGTCCCCCTGATCATTTCCAAGTGTATTGCTCTATCTCCATATGTTTGTATAGTTTCTACAGTTCTTTTGGTAATGGTGTCTAATTTTATCTCATTAAGATCTGTTGAGACAGAAGAAACTATTTTCAGTTTTCTTATCTTTGTTAAGAATTGCTTTATGGCTTAAAATGTGATCTATTTTGGAGAAGGTTCCATGAACTGCTGAGAAGTGGATTCTGCCGACCACATTTGGAATGGCAAAGTTATTTAAAAATGTTAACAGGCTGTCTTAAAAATGGCTCATCTGGGGCTGGGAAGGTGGCTCAGTGGTAGAGTGCTTGCCTCGCATGCATGAGGCCCTGGGTTCAATTCCTCAGCACCACATAAGCAGAAAAAGCCGGAAGTGGGGCTGAGGCTCAGGTGGTAGAGCTGGTTTACAGATGAAGAGCTGAGGGACAGCACCCAGGCCCAGAATTCAGGCCCCACAACTGAAGGAAAAAAAAAAAAAGGCTCATTTTATTTCTATCGCAATGGTTTACAAACAGTATACAGAACACTAAGATAACTTTTGGAACCACGATAAAGAACTGAGTGAATATGCCAGATGGCATCGAGGACTGCCTCTGCTGCTTCCTTTGTTTTTTTGTTTTGTTTTTGCCAGTCCTGGGGCTTGAACTCAGCGCTGTCCCTGAGCTGCCTTTTGCTCAAGCCTAGCACTCTACCACTTGAGCCACAGAACCACTTCCAGCTTTTCCTGTGTATGTGGTGCTGAGGAAATCGAACCCAGGACTTTGTGCATGCTAGGCAAGCATTCTTTCACTAAGCCACCTTCCCAGCCTCCCTTGCTTCCTTTGGTGCTACACACAGTGGTGAGTGTGTGCAGGACACTCTTACACAAGCAAAGGCGAAAAGAAGGGTAACCTAGTTTATTGGGTGTACACAAATAATACCATAGTGTGGAGGAAGAGCTACGTCAAAATCTTCAAACAACTGATGTTTCCTCACACCAAAGAGGAGAATAAGGACAGGGTCTTATGTTATTGTCATCCACAATTTGCTTGGCTTTCCTTCACCAATTTTCTACTGAACCCTCAATAAAAGAAGTAAAACTCAGGAGTATCTCTTGCCACACAATGTATAAATGATTGCTAGTCCCACTTATACTCTGTAGGCCAGCTCACACTGGGTAAGCTTTGGTTCTGTGGTGAACAGCCTTTCTTGGCATGTGATGACCTTGGATTCTGTGGGAATGTTCTAGACTGAGCTTTAAGTGACTGAAACGAGGTCTCACCCATCTCAGTATCCTGAGCATGCATCCGTTTCACTAGGTATGCATCACGTGCTTTGTGCATGTGTATCGGAAAGCTTCGAAGTCCTACCTGGTGGGGTTCCGTTTGTCTTCCTCAGAGATCAAAAACCAGACAAAATCTGCGTAGCTCATTCTTCCCTCTTTCTGTACTGTTTTTCCTCTGAAGAAAACACATGATTATAAATTTGCCTGAGTGGCTAAGAAATGAAATAACACCACTGTTAGCTGGATATTTCAACAAGTGCAATCCTATTTTTGTTTTTTTTTGGTCAGTCGTGGGGCTTGAACTCTGGGCCTGGGTGCTGTCTCTCAGCTCTTAAGCTCAAGGCCAGCGCTCTACTACTTAAGGCACAGCGCCACTTCCGGCTTTTTCTGCTTATGTGGTACTGAGGAATCGAACGAAGGTCTCATGCATGCAAGGCAAGCACTCTACCACTGAGCCACCTTCCCAGCCCCCTATTTTGTTCTTAAAGGCTTACAATGTTAAAACATGAAAGCTCAGGTTTCTGAATTGAATGCAAATGATCAGTAGTAGGATCGAGTTCTATTATGTGTATTTAGCTACAAAACTAATACTAATATTAAAGAATTTCTAGCTGGGCACCATTGACTCACACCTGTAATCCCAGCTACTAGGGAGGCTGAGAGCTGAGGATTGAGGTTTGAAGTGATCAGAAAAGTCCCCATGAAACTCTTATCTCCAATAAACTATTCAAAAAAGCCAGAAGTTATGTTGTGTCTCAGGTCCTAGAGTGTTAGCCTGAGCACAAAGGCTCAGGAACAGCTCCCAGGCCCTGAGTTAAAGCCTCAGGATTGGCCAAAAAACAACAACAAAAAAATACGTAAAACATCAAGCCATGGATATACTTTATTCATTAATGCCACCAAATTATGCAGGAAGCCTTGTTAAAATGAGAATGCTATGACATTATACTTTACTTTTCTTACCTTGTTACTGCCCCAGAGAATATCCTTTCAATAATTCTGTTTGATGAAGCTAAATGTAAATAAGAAATTGCAAAGTTAGTTAGACATAGACTCTGTAAGTCAGTACTTCTGGAAAATGTGTTTTCATTTCCTCAAGCCAAGCCATAATAATCTTTCATGATGAGGGTATCACTAGTTGAATTCTGTTTTTGTTTTTTTGTTTTTGCCAGTTCTGTGGCTGGAATTCTGGGCCTGGGTACTGTCCCTAAGCTGCTTTTTTTTTTGTTTTGTGTCCGGTTGTGGGGCCTGAACTCTGGGCCTGGGCACTGTCCCTCAGCTCTTCCGCTCAAGGCTAGCGCTCTACCACTTGAGCTACAGCACCACTTCCGGCTTTTTTTTTTTTTTGCTTATGTGGTGCTGAGGAATCAAACCCAGGGCCTCATGTATGCAAGGCAAGCAATCTACCACTGAGCCACCTTCCCAGCCCGTCCCTAAGCTTCTTTTGCTCAAGGTGAATGCTCTACTACTTGAGCCACAGCACCACTTCTGGCTTTTTTGAGTAGTGTATTAGAGATAAGCGTCTCATAGAGTTTCCTGCCCAGGCTGGCTTCGAACCACAATCCTTAGATCTCAGACTTCTGAGTAGCTAGGGTTACTGCTGTGAGCTACCAGTACATGGCAGTTGAATTCTTCCTTATGTATAGTTTGTGTTTTAGAAGAATGAAGTAGCTCTATATCAGTAATTTTAAAAAAGAACATGCAAATTACTGTGCCTAACAACTGAGATGAATTACATAGTTAAGCTCTAAGTTAATCCTAACAACAAAGACAAAAATATATACTGAGTTTGCATTAAATACATTAATCTTTATTAATCTTTATGCAATCCTAATGACAAGAATATGATTAATTGAAGAAGGGAGGCAACAGTACTACTATGTTTATCACTGTACATTAGTACCATAACTCCTCCTCCTTCTTTCCTTCTGCGGCACTGGGGATTTGAGCTCAAGAGTTTTACATTGGTTAGGCAAGTGCTCTAGTACTTGAGCCATGCCCCCTGTCCGTTTATATATTCATTCATTCATTAACTTTTCTTGTTTTTTTTTTTTTTTTTTTTGTGCTATCCTGAGACTTAAACTCAGGTTCTGGGTGCTGTCCCTAAGCTTTTCTGCTCAAGGTTAGTACTGAACTTTGGTCACTGTTCCACTTGTGGCTTCTGTGGTTATTCAGAGATAGGAGTCTCATGGACTTTTCCTGCCCAGGCTGCCTTTGAACCATGATCCTCAGGTCTCAGCCTCCTGAGTAGCTAGGATGACAGGCGTGAGCCACCAGCACCTGGCTTGGCTCTTTTTTCTTGCGTTGAGTTGACCAGGCTTGGCCTCAAACTATTTGGTTCCACCAATCGTCCTGCTCAGCCTCCCCTAGATGGGATTATAGGCACGGCACACACCATCATACTCAGCCAAAGAACTCTGGTTCTTAAATATGTAATATTCTAAAAAACGTCATTTGCATGAGCTTTCATGTCACAGACATACCAAATAATTCAGTGCATTTATTTCACATTTGTACTCTGCTACATTTAAAAAAAAAGAAGTTTGAATTTAAAAATACTGAGAAGAGGCTGAGAAGGTGGCTCAGTGGTAGAATGCTTGCTTTGCAGCATGAGGCTCTGGGTTTGATTCCTCAGCACACATAAGTAGAAAAAGCTGGAAGTGGTGCTGTTGTGGCTTGAGCTGAGGGACAACACCCAGGCCCAGAGTTTAGGCCCCATGACCAACAAAAAAAACAAAACACAAAACTCGGATCCTAGCTACTTAGGAAGCTTAGATCTGAAGATGATGGTTCAAAGCCAGCCCTGGCAAAAAAATTCTGTGAGACTCTTACACCCAATTAACCAGCAAAAAGCCAGAAGTGGAGCTGTGGCTTAAGAGGTAGAGTGCTATCCTTGAGCAAAAATAGGTCAAAGACAGCATCTAGGTCCTGAGTTCAAGCCCCAGGACTAACACACACATACATAAAACACCTAAAATCTGGCAAGGTATAAAGGTAATTTTCATTCTTGGCTTTTTATACAAACATTAAGTGATAGGTTAAAAGAATATACATATTCTTTTTTTTGTTTTTGGTAGGTCATGGAGCCTGAACTCTGGGCCTGGGCTCTGTCCCTCCTTCAGCTCAAGACTAGCATTCTACCACTTGAGCTATAGCGCAACTTCCAGTCTTTTCTGCTTCTGTGGTACTGAGGAATCGAACCCAGGACCTCATGCATGCAAGGCTAGCACTCTACCACTGAGCCACCTTCCTAGCCTACATATTCTATTTCAAACAGATTTGCACATGTGGGTTTTATTTATCATCAGGAAAACATCACAAAGACTTCTGCCTTACCGAAACTGTGACTCCTTACTTACCTCTTCTTTGGTTCTCTATATTAAAAAAAGCATCTTTTGCTCATTCCCATTTAAAAATTCTTAGTCCTCTACCAATCTTAGATTCAGAATTTAATAAATGGGATTATTCTGAGTGGATAAATTACATAACTCCTTAAATGATGAAGCATCACTCACCCTGGTCATTGTATCGAGATAGGTCAGTCTGGCTGATATACAGGTCGTGATCGCTGTCTAGTTCCCAGAACTTACAATAAATAACATAGAAATGCTCATAGGAGAAGTAGTCTGTGATTTGGTTTATGTCTTCCTCTTCCTCCAAAAGGGCTAGAGTCTGAAATTATATGAATGAAAGGATTAATTCTTTGGTCAGTTGTGGGGCTTGAACTCTGGGGCTAGACGCTGTCCCGTAGCTCTTCAGCTCAAGTACCACTTGCACCACAGTGCCAATTCTGGTTTTCTAGTGATTCATTGGAGTCTCATAGACTTTCCTGCCTGGGCTGGCTTTGAACTTCGATCCCCAGATCTCAGCCTGCTGATAGATAGGATTATAGGTATGAGCCACTGGTGCCCAGCAAGGATTAATTCTTAAAAAGTTATGAAAACCCATAGGGCTGGAATGTAGCTCAGTGGCAAAGCGCTTGCCTAGCAAGTACAACGTCCTGGGTTCGATCCCCAGTACCAAAAAAGAAAAGACAAAAAAAAAAAAAAAGTTATGAAAACTCAGCTTTAGCCATTGTGGAGTCCAGCAGATGTTCATTGAAAATTGAGTTTGGAATGCTCAGTAATGCTTGTTAAGGATAGCATTACTGAAATCTATGCCATGCTTGAGGAAAGCTGCTATGGAGGACATAAAAGCAAGAGAAGGGAAGGACTCTGTCTGTCAGAGGTCCCCAGACTGCATGCACATCATGAGATGACAGGCTGAGGGACACAGTCATAACCTAACCCTCCTTCTTCACTTTTCAGGTACAAGAGCAGTATTAAGAAGGGGGTGGTGGTGGCTGGGAACGTGGCTTAGTGGTAGAGTGCTTGCCTAGCATGCATGAAGCCCTGGGTTCGATTTCTCAGTACCACATAAGCAGAAAAAGCCAGAAGCGGCCCTGTGGCTCAAGTGGTAGAGTGCTAGCCTTGAGGAAAAGAAGCTCAGGGACAGTACCCAGGCCCTGAGTTCAAGCTACAGGACTGGCAAAATAAAATAAAGAAGGCTGGTTGCTTACACCTATGATCCTGGGTACTAAGGAAGCTGAGATCTGAGGATTGCAGTTTGAGGCCAACCAGGACAGGAAAGTTCGTTAGACTCTTATCTACAATTAACCATCAGAAAACACGAACTAGAGCTGTGGCTCAAAGTGGTAGAGCACTTCTCTTAAGCACAGAAGCTGAGGGACAGTGCTCACAACTGACAAAAAAAGTGGGTATCCACATAGATACTGCTTAAGTTTTATAATGAAAACAAATTTACCATAAGGACTATACAAGTGTGGTACTACAAGGTAGCGGGGCGGAGAAGGCAATGTTACGACAGCGCCCTGGGAAGAATGTAAATCTGGGAACCCCTGACTCATTTTCCCTAGAGAAATACCAGAACCAATGAATTTTTTTTTTTTTTTTTTTTGTCGGTCGTGGGGCTTGAACTCTGGGCCTGGGCGCTGTCCCTCAGCTCTTCAGCTCAAAGCGAGCACTCTACCACTTGAGCTACAGCGCCACTTCCGGTTTTCTGGTGGTTTATTGGAGATAGGAGTCTCACGGTATCTCCTGCCCGGGCTGGCTTTGAACTGCGATCCTCAGATCTCAGCCTCCTGGGTAGCTAGGATTATAGGCGTGAGCCACCAGCGCCCAGCACCAATGAATTTTTTAGTCGACGGTTGCTTAGTTATCTAAATTATCATCCAAGTGGATAAACAGATGACATTTTTTCAGAAGTGAAAGGCTGAGAAGGACCAAAGAAATATTAAGAAAATTTAAGAAGTAGAATTCAAAAAGAGCGGGAAGAAATAAGATCAGATGTATCAATAAATACAATGAAGGAAAACTGAAGTTTCCCTTCTAAAAAAATTTTTTTTCTATGTGTATTGGTCCTGGAGCTTGAATTCAGGTCCTAAGGGCTGTTCCTGAGGTTTTGTTTGTTTGCTCAAGGCTAATGCTCTACCAGTCAACCCACAGTTCCACTTCTGGCTTTTTTGGTGTTAAATGAACATAAAAGTCTCACACACTTTTCTGCCTGGGCTGGCTTTGAACCACCACAATCTCAGGTCTCAGCTTCCTGAGTAGCTGGGATTACAAGAGGCTCCACCAGGGCCTGGCATTATCTCCTGTTACTGTGAATGCATTAGGCTTTTGAAAGGGTAACTTGGCAGGATCTACTGAATTAAAATTGCGACATTATCATCAGATCCAAGGTTTGCCCTCTATTCTAGAGAAATGCTTACTCAAATGCCCACAGGAGAGGAAGTTACCACACAAGAGGATGTTTACTGGATCATGGTAAAACAGAAAATATGACAATGACCGGAACATCACTAGATGCATGTGTAATTAATTACAGTTCAACCCACACAATCAATCATGCAGTATTTAGAAGGAAATAGATACGAATGGAAAGGAACCCTAAGACACCATTAAGTGAAAGAAACAAGTAAATACAATAGTCAGTAGGACACTAGGTATTTTTTTTTTTTTTTTTTTTTGTCGGTCGTGGGTCTTAAACTCTGGGCTTGGATGCTGTCCCTCAGCTCTTCAGCTCAAGGCCAGCACTCTACCGCTTGAGCCACAGTACCACTTCCGGTTTTCTAGTGGTTTATTGAACCACCACAATCCTCAGATCTCAGCCTCCTGAGTAGCTATGATTACAGGCATGAGCCACAAACACCCGGCGACACTGTGTATTTTGAAAACTCTCAAAAATAGTAGTCATAGCCGGGCGCTGGTGGCTCACGCCTGTAATCCTAGCTACTCAGGAGGCTGAGATCTGAGGATCGCGGTTCAAAGCCAGCCCGGGCAGGAGAGACCGTGAGACTCCTATCTCCAATAAGCCACCAGAAAACCGGAAGTGGCGCTGTAGCTCAAGTGGTAGAACGCTCACCTTGAGCTGAAGAGCTGAGGGACAGCGCCCAGGCTCAGAGTTCAAGCCCCACGATCGACAAAAAAAAAAAAAAATAGTAGTCATACAAATCAAAAGCATATACACCATGCAAACACTTATAAGGGGACAAAACTACAGATAATATGGGTCCCTCTGGAAAAGGGAGTGAAACACATCAGAGTAAAGAGGTAAGTGGTGACTTCTGCTTATTACTGGAATGTTTTATTGCTTCCCGAGTGTTTGTTGATGACTAAGAGGATGAATAAGGAGAGGGAGAAATTAATCATGCTCTAGGACCAGAACACTTGAGCTTTGCTTTCATTTAGCCATCTTCTAGCTGAGTGTTCTTATATGCTATTCAGTTATATTTGAGTCTCTTAATTTATCAGCAGTCAGAAATGTTGTAATATAATAATGGTTCAAAAACTTCAAGTGATGGGGCTGGGAAGGTGGCTCAGTGGTAGAGCGCTTGCCTTGCATGCATGAGGCCCTGGGTTCAATTCCTCAGCACCACATAAGCAAAAAGAAAAAAGCCGGAAGTGGTGTTGTGGCTCAAGTGGTAGAGCGCTAGCCTTGAGCTGAAGAGCTGAGAGACAGCGCCCAGGCCCAGAGTTCAGGCCCCATGACTGGACCTCCCCCCCCCCCCCCAAAAAAAAAACTTCAAGTGATGTGTTCCAGAAATGTGAGGAATTATAAAATGTAATAATCATTCTTGTGATGCTTTGGAATTATGACCATCTTAACCTATTCCATAAAACCTACTGGGAACCCAGGCAGGCACCTGGTGTTCCACAATTCAACAAAAGTTGTAACAATGACTGTTCATTTTACAGCATAAGATGTATATCCATTATGGACTACTAAATTTTCCAAGTCTTCATTACTTTGTCTGTTTCAGATGAAGACAGGAAAAATAAAGAGTAATAAGGTTATATCACTAGCCTAAGCTTCATTTAGTTTGATTCATCTGAAATAAATTGTGAAAAAAATGCATTTTGTGTAGGTTTATAGAAGCTTAAACAACCAGGAATCAAGACTACTATGATAAAAGGCTCCCACTAGTGGTCACTACTTTCTCATTTGAGAAAATAAATAACATAACTGAATAAAACATTTCCTTCTTTCTTCCCTCCTTTTTTTTTTGTCAGTCGTGGGGCTTGAACTCTGGGTCTGGGCGCTGTCCCTCAGCTCTTTAGCTCAGGGCTAGCAAGTGCTCAACCACTTGAGCCACAGTGCCACTTCTGGTTTTCTAGTGGTTGATTGGAGATAGTCTCACAGATGTTCCTCTCACAGATGTTCCTGCCCGGGCTGGCTTTGAACCACGATCCTCAGATCTCAGCCTCCTGCGTAGCCAGGATGACAGGGGTGAGCCACCAGTGCCTGGCCTTTTTTTTTTAGGACTGAGACCCAGACTCAAATTCTGTACCTGACACTCCCTCATGGGCTAGTGCTCTACCAACTGAGCCATACCTCCAATCCCTTACTTCTTTCCTCCATCCCTCCTTTCCTTTGTCATTTTCTTTCTCCTTCCTTCTTTTCTCTCTCTTTTTTGTTTTTACTCCCTTTATCCAGGAGCACCTGGTTAGCCACTGCTGAAAGAACAAATGTCCCTATTCTCCCATTTTTCTTTTCTTTTTTTTTTGTCAGTGGGGGCTTGAACTCTGGGCCTGGGTGCTGTCCCTCAACTCTTCAGTTCAAGGCCAGCGCTCTACCATTTGAGTCACAGCCCCACTTCCGGCCTTTTCTGCCTATGTGGTGCTGAGGAATCGAACCCAGGGCCTCATGCATGCAAGGCAAGCGCTCTACCACTGAGCCACCTTCCCAGCCCTATTCTCCCATTTCTTTGGCAAGGCCCAGCCCACCCTTTCGTTTTCACCCTCTCCCAGGAGCCCCCCGTCTCTTGACACTGCCTGGCAGCTCTCCTGAGAAGGACACTTCCAGGATCCTGGCTTTTGCCTATGCTGCTGCTTCAGTCTGGGATCCCTTTTCTACTAATGTTTTATATCTTGGCTGAATTCCGGGTGTGCCCCAAGAACAGGAGCCGCAGTCCTTGGGTGAGCCTTTGCGCCTGGTCCTGCATGTCTGTGGGATTCACTGAGGAAGGTGTGGCTGGCTGAAGGCTTGTGCTTGGCTCCCAGTGCGTGCCTCAAGGTGGAAATCCTGTTCTTCTGTTTGCTTGGCCCTGCCTTCACTCTGGTGTTTCACTGCTGAAAGTAATGACAGTACTTTGCACACAGTGAGCCCCTGACTATGGGTTGCATGAAGCTTATTGACGTTGATCAGTGTACCTTTATGCAAGTGGCCTACCTGCAAAAAGTTGCTTTTTCTTAGCTCTGTTGAAGTGATTCTTCCACTCCAAGATCTGTTGACGGTATAGAATATTCTTTGAATAACCTGGTTCCAAAGGGAAAAAAAACTAATTAAAATCATGAAGGATCTCTGTTGTTTTATTTTATTTATTTGTTTGTTTGTCAGTCGTGGGACCTGAACTCTGGGCCTAGGTGCTGTCCCTCAGCTCTTCAGATCAAGGCTAGCCCTCTACCACTTGAGCCACAGCACCACTTCCAGGTTTTACTGCTTGTGTGGTGCTGAGGAATTGAACTCAGGCCCTCATGCATGCAAGCAAGCACTCTACCATTGAGTCACCTCCCCAGCCCCTGGTATTATTATTTTTAATTTTTTGTTGGTTGTGGGGCTCAAACTCTGGGCCTGGACGCTGTCCCTCAACTCTTCAGCTCAAGGCTAGCGCTCTACCACTTGGGCCTCAGTGCCACTTCTGCCTTTTTCTGCTTATGTGGTGCTGAGGAATTAAACCCAGGGCCTCAGGCATACAAGGCAAGCACTCTACCACTGAGCCACCTTACCAGCCCAGATCTCTGTTATTTCATCTGAGGCTATACGACAAATAACATTTGGAGCCAGTTTAAGTATTGGCTTTTTCATGTCAAGTGTACTTCTTACAGAAAATAAAACAAAAACTGTTCTTTTTTGGGGGGGAGGGGAGAGGGGGCGGTGCTGGTCTTGGGGCTTGAACTCAGGGCCTAAGCACTGTCTCTGAGCTTTTTTTGCTAAAGGCTAGCATTTGACCACTTGAACCACAGCACCACTTCTGTTTTTTGAGTATTTAATTGGAGAGATAATCTCGACTTCCCAAATAGCTAGTCTCAGAGGCTTGAATCACTGAGCCCAGTTCATTTTTATGTGATTCTAGGCTCTCCATTGCCAGAGTGGGGTTTGAACCTAGGGCCCCATGCTTGCTACACAAGCACTTTTAGTACTGGTTCTAAAGAAAAGAAATAATGTCTTTTACTCAACGTGATATTCTTGGCAGTTCATTAAAAAAAGTTTTAAGCTGGGCACTGGTGGCTCACACCTATCACCCTGGCTACTCAGGAGGCTGAGATAGGAGGATCACAGTTCAAAACCAGCCTGGGCAGGAAAGTCCATGAGACTCTTTTTTTTTGGGGGGGGGGGGGGGGGTCTGGTCGTGGGGCCTGAACTCTGGGCCTGGGCGCTGTCCCTCAGCTCTTCAGCTCAAGGCGAGCGCTCTACCACTTGAGCCACAGCGCCACTGAACCGGAAGTGGCGCTGTGGCTCAAGTGGTAGAGCGCTCGCCTTGAGCTGAAGAACTGAGGGACAAGTTCGAGCCCCATGACTAACAAAAATAAAAAAAAGAAAAGAAAGAAAAAAAGAAAAAAAGTTAGCCTAGAAATCATATATGAAAATAAACATTAAGATCTCATTTGTCATAATTACATGTTACCTCTCAGACAATTTCAATCCATATACCAAAATTTTCTTGTTAAACAACGTTAGTTTTTGCCCTTATTTCTTGATTTTTGAGTATTTAAACTGTTTCCTATGTAAGATTTGTATTTATATATCAAATATTTTATATTGTTTTTAGAAGTGTTCTGTTGCCCTTACAACTACTAAACTTTATATTCACTTTGGCTCATTTATATTTCTTTTTCCTTTTAAAACCTTTTTCTTTTCTTTTTTGTTGGTTGTAGGGCTTGAACTCTGGGCCTGGGTGCTGTTCCCTCAGCTCTTCAGCTCTTTGACTCATAGCACCACTTCTGGTTTTCTGGTGGTTTACTGGAGATAAAAGTCTCATGGCCCTTCCTGCCCGGGCTGGCTTTGAACCGTGATTCTCAGATCTCAGCCTCCTGAGTAGCTAGGATGACAGGCGTGAGCCACCGGCACCGGCCTTTATTTTATTTTCATAGCCAGTAAGTATATAAATGTTGTGAATTGCTCTGAGGGAAAGGCATTATAATATAAAAAGTAAACATATGACTCTCCACATACCATCCTTTTTCATTCTTTTGGACAGAATTTGAAAATTTGTAAGAGATTTGTTAGGAATCACTTTAACTTCTCCTAACTTGATTTTGTTTGTTTTGTTGGTGTAGGGCTTGAACTCAGGGCTTGGGTGCTGTCCCTGAGCTTTTTGCTCAAGGCTAGCATTCTACCTCTTTGACCCACAGTGCCACTTCTGGTTCTGTGGTGGTTAATTGCAGATAAAAGTCGCCAGTCCCCATTGGCAAAAAAAAAAAAAAAAGTAACAGCCATATTCAGATCTCAGCCTCCTGAGTAGCTAGGATTACAGGCATGAGCTACCAGCCCCTGTCCCTTCTAACCTGCTTCTTAAATACCACACAAGGCATTCCATTTTTCTTTAGCCTAACCATCTTCCTCAGTAAACCCACTTCATCAGCACCATTGGGCTTCCTTAATACTGAGTCAGCGTTTACAAGACCAAGGCAGGGCTGCCACCTGGTGGTCAAAGCATGCACTGCTAGCTCTACATTGTTCTGCTGCATTTCCAATTTCAGGTCAACTTTTTTTTTTTTTGGTAGGTTGTGGGCCTTGAACTGAGGGCCTAGGCACTGTCCCTGAGATATGCTCAAGGCTAGTGCTCTACCACTTAGAACCACAAAGCCAGTTATAGTTTTCTGATGGTTAATTGGAGATAAAAGCCTCATAGACTCCTATTTGGGGTGGCTTTGAACCACGATCCTGACTTTTAGCATCCTTAGTAGCTAGGATTACAGATGTGAGCCACTGGCACCCAACTACCACTTTTGGATTAATAAAAATCGCTCACGGGCTGGGAAGGTGGCTCAGTGGTAGAGTGCTTGTCTTGTATGCATGAGGCTCTGGGTTCAATACCTCAGCACCGCATAAGCAAAAAAAAAAAAAACCATTAGTGGAGCTGTGGCTCACATGGTACAGTGCTCGCCTTGAGCTGAAGAGCTGAGGGACAGTGCCCAGTCCCAGAGTTCAGGCCTCAGGACTGACAAAAAAAAAAAATCACTTTTTGTGTGTGTGTGTGGGTCGTGGGGCTTGAACTCTGGGCCTGGGTGCTGTCCCTCAGCTCTTCAGCTCAAGGCGAGCACTCTACCACAAGAGCTATGGCGCCACTTCCAGTTTTCTGGTGGTTTATTGGAGATAAGAGTCTCACAGATTTTTTCCTGCCTAGGCTGGCTTTGAATCGTGATCCTCAGATCTCGGCCTCCTGAGTAGCTAGGATGACAGGCTTGAGCCACCAGTGCCCCTGGCTATGAGACTCTTATTCCAACGAACCACCAGAAAAAGCTGGAAGTGGTGCTGTGGCTTAAGTGGGAGGATGCTAGGCCTTGAGCAAAAGGAGCTGAGGGACAGCGCCCAGGCCCTGAATTCAAGTCCCACAACCGACAAAACAAAACAAAACACAGAATAATTAGTTACTACTAGTGGGAGGAATGAAACTAAAAATCTTTACTAGGGGGTGTCCTGTCAACTCCACAGATACATTAAATGGTAAGTCAGCTGCCTTTCTTATCTATCTATTGGAATGGAAACACACTCATAATCAGTGAATAGAGGCCACCAGGCATGGAAATGCTTGGTAGCTCTGCTTGGTGGCTCATTGTGATGGCTGGGAATGTGGCTTAGTGCTACAGTGCTTGCCTAGCATGCATGATGCCGTGGGTTCAATTCCTCAGTGCCAATGTAAATAAAAAAGGCTGTAAATGGTGCTGCGGCTCAAGTGGTAGAGTGCTATCCTTGAGCAAAAGAAGCTCCAGGGTAGTGCCCAGGCCCCGAGTTCAAGCCCTAGGACTGGCAAAAAAAAAAAAAAAAGAAAGCAGATGAGATGCAGGCTGAAATTGCAGAGACATTCTCATGTGGAAGCCTGAGTTCCACTTGGCAAGCAGCGGTTGTCCGTGGATTATGAATGTACTCTTCGGTTAATGTGGCTCTGAAATGTATTCATGGCCTTCTGTAGAATTTGGACTTCTAAGTGATGAGAAATGTCCAACAAACAGCTTAGTCATCTTAGGTTCTCGGTGACTGACATCCCCCATGTCAGCCTAAAAGGATGGATTCGGCTCAATTCAATGCAGATTCTGAATATGTCACTAGGACTCCATATTTCCACCCGGCACTGGTGTCATGAATTATTTTAAATTTCATTGCTTAGTTGAAAGACTCACAGAAAGCTGGTGCATGTGGCGTAGGGAAGGCAGAGCAACTGGGGAGCATCTGAACAGGTCTCTGCATTAGTGACGACAGAAATCTACAGGGTAGGCTGTTCAGAGAGGAAGAACACAGTGCCTGGAGTTTGGTGCTTAGCTATAGCGAGAAACAGGAAGGAATCGGGCGGTGACGTTACAAGGCAGGCAAGGCTGCAGGAATAGGAGGGCAGAAAGTCTTGGCAGGTAAGGAAAGGACTGACCTTACTTGACTTAATAATTGTTTGGAGGTTGATCGTGGTAGAGATCAGGTTAGTACAGTGTGTGGTTAATGAGCATCAATTAACTTCTGAGAGAGTCTTGTCACTACAACATCTGGCTCAGGGCTGGGAAGGTGGCTCAGTGGTAGAGCGCTTGCCTTGCATGCCTGAGGCCCTGGGTTTGATTCCTCAGCACCACATAAGCAAAAAAAAAAAAAGCCGGAAGTGGCGCTGTGGCTCAAGTGGTAGAGTGCTAGCCTTGCGCTGAAGAGCTGAGGGACAGCGCCCAGGCCCAGAGTTCAGGCACCACGACCGGAATCCCCCCCCCCAAAAAAAAAAAAAAAAAATCTGGCTCAGATGAAAAATCTTCCAAGTTTTATACAGACAAAGAAAGAGAGCCAATTTAAGGACAAAGAATGAAGTTCTGAGCTGGGAAGGTGGCTCGGTGGTAGAGTGCTTGCCTCACATGCATGAGGCCCTGGGCTCGATTCCTGAGCACCACATAAGCAGAAAAAGCTGGAAGTGGCATAGTCTTGAGCTGAAGAGCTGAGACAGCGCCCGGGCCCAGAGTTCAAGTCCCATGACTGACAAAAACAAAACAAAGACCCAATCAGATTCAGCCTACCGTGGTGATGTATCGGGAGTGGAATTCTGGAGCATCTTTTAGGAACGTAAGGCCAGGGTGTGTATCCACCACATCCTGAAAAAGATCCAATAGTCTGCTTAAAATCTATCTTCCATCTCCTCCTTAACATTCTGAAGATAGGCAATTTACTTAAGACATCTGCTTTAAGGTACTTAACAGCTAATTCTAACATCGATGTTAGTTTTACATCAGTTTTATTTTTCCTCCTGATTATTAACTGTAGTTTCCTGCTTCTGTTGCATAGGACATTCTTTTGCTCAAAGTGAGTGCTCTACCACTTGAACCACAGCAACACTTCTGGCTTTTTTGAGTGGTTTCCTGCCAGGCTGGCTTTGAACTATGATCCTGAGATCTCAGCCTTCTGGTTAGCTAGGATTACAGGTGTGAGTCATTGGTGCCTGGCGATCCCCCACTTCTGAAACAAGACTCTAGGACTGTTCCAGCCAAAGCCTGCCCCCTAACCCCCCATGTAATCTGAGGGTATCCCAGCCTGGTTTTCTTCTTGTTACTTTCCTCACATATACTTGCTTTTCAGTATTCTGCTAAATACTCATGGAGAAGCTTCTGGGGTTCTTTGGGGGCTTGTCCCCCTTGGCGGTTCTCTCCTCTTTGGTACTTTGTCCTGAGAGTTCTACCTGCCTTTGTTTCCCCAGGACTTCCAACTGTGTCCTGAATTCAGCAAGCCCACAACCTCCCATTCCTTGGTTTGGACCCTATCTGGACTACAAGTTCTCTGTCATCAAGGTCACCTTGTTTTCTGCCTCTTTTCTGTTGCCCATGTCCAGTCTCCTGAAAATCACTTCCATTTCTTATTTGGTTAATATCTCAGGTGGGAAGGTAAATCCAAATTTGGATCGAGTGGAAGATCTATTAATTTTCACTGTTAATTTCATTCCCTCCTATTTTATTATTATTTATTTTTTTGCCAGTCCTGGGGCTTGAAATCAGGGCTTGGGCACTGTCCCTGAGCCTCTTTGTGCTCAAGGCCATGAGCCACAGCACCACCTCTGGCTTTTTCTGTTTATGTAGTACTAAGGAATCGAATCCAGGGCTTCATGCATGCTAGGCAAGCACTCTACCACTAAGCCACATTCTCAGCCCTACCTCTCCCCCCACCCTTTTTTTTTTTTTTTTTTTGCCAGTCCTGGGGTTTGAACCCTGGGCCTAGGCACTGTCCCTGAGCTTTTTTTTGGTTGGTTGGTTGTGGGGCTTGAACTCTGGACCTGGGAGCTGCTGTCCCTCAGCTCAGCTCTTCAGCTCAAGGTAAGTGCTCTACCCCTTGAGCCACAGCACCACTTCCAGTTTTCTGAATGGTTTATTGGAGGTAAGAGTCTCAGGGATTTTCCTGCCACGGCTGGCTTTGAACTGCGATCCTCAGATAGATCTATCTATCTATCTATCCATCCATCTGTTATTAACTAGTTGTACAAAGAAGTTTCAATTTATTTTACTGAACTCTTTCATTGTCCAAGTCAGTTTTATCATTGATTCTTGTGGACTTTCCAGTTTATTATCACGTTTTACATTTACAGAAAATTTGAGAAATACAATACAGAGTTCCCAAATATCCCACACCAAAATTTTCTCTATTATTAAACTCTTACCTTAGAATGGCACATATTCCCACTAATAAACCTAATAAACCCATACATCATATTACCTAGTATCTGTTTTCTGTTCTAGGAATTCATATTATGCTTTAGTTGTCTTTTCTCCTGAGCTTCCTTTGGCTGGGGCAGTTTCTCGGACTTTCCTTGTTTCTGATGACCTAGACATGCTGGGTCTATATAGGTTGTTTCTGGAATGGAATTTGATGCTTTTCTCATGATGAGTTGGGGTTTAATGGGTTGTAGGAGAAGATTGCAGAGGTGATGGGCCATTTTCATCATATCCTGTCAAGGGGACACACTATCAACATGATTTATGACTGCTGACAGTGGCCTTGATCACCAAGCTGAAGCTGTTTGTTGGGTTCTCCACTGCACACCCAACTCTCCCAAGCTGTCCCTGGGATTGCCACACAGTATATCCCTCAGGAATGGAGAGTTACGTTCCTCCCTTAAATGGTGGACTATACTGAATTCTTTGGAATTTTTCTGCATAGAAGTTTTAGCTCTTCTCCCCGTTCAATGATTTATTTATATCGCTACGTGTATTGGGGTTTGGACTCAAGGGCTGGGCACTGTCTCTGAGCTTTTTTGCTCAAGGCTAATGCTCTAACCACTTGAGCCACAGCTCTATGTCGGGATTTTTTGGTGGAAAATTAGAGATATGACTGTCTTGGACTTTCCTGCCCAGGTTGGCTTTGAACTGCAATCCTCAGATCTTCGATTCCTGAGTAGCTAGGATTGCAGGCATGAGCCACAGGTACCCGGCTCAAGACTTATCTTTTCTGATATAAAAATATATCAGGGCTGGGAATGTGCCTTAGTGGTAGAGTGTTTGCCTAGCATGCATGAAACACTGGGTTTGATTCCTCAGTACCACATATACAGAAAAAGCCAGAAATGGTACTGTAGCTCAAGTGGTAGAGTGCTCAGAAGAGACTCAGGAACAGTGCCTAGGCCCTGAGGTTAAGCAAAAAAAAATTTTTTAAAATCTATCTATCTATCTATCTATCTATCTATCTATCTATCTATCTATCTACCTATCTATCTATCAGTGAATAAGAGTTTAAAATTTCATAAACAGAAAAAATACTGCTGTTTCATTCATCTGGTTCCATCAGTGAAAGGTACTCTACATGAGTTTTCTGGATGAGTAAAAGTAATCCATGCCAATAATATAAATCACTGATCTTGCTAAAATCTGCTAAAGGGAGCAAGGACTATTGTCCTTATTCCCAGACTGGAGTGTTTTCACAGGTTTTATGTTCTTTTCTTTTTTTGTCGGTCGTGGGGCTTGAACTCTGGGCCTGGGCGCTGTCCTTCAGCTCTTCAGCTCAAGGCGAGTACTCTACCACTTGAGCTACAGCGCCACTTCCGGTTTTCTGGTGGTTTATTGGAGATAGGAGTCTCACAGTCTTTCCTGCCCGGGCTGGCTTTGAACCGTGATCCTCAGATCTCAGCCTCCTGAGTAGCTAGAATTACAGGCGTGAGCCACCAGCGCCCGGCTTTATGTTCTTTTCTTAAGTAGTTTTTCTTAACTCTCCTGACTACTTCTAGAATCTAGGAACTACTTTTAGAGTCTTTGTAGCTCTCAGTGTGTGTATGTGTTTTTGTTGTTGTTATTGGTCGTGGGGCTTGAACTCTGGGCCTGCGCGCTGTCCCTGAGTTCTTCAGCTGAAGGTGAGCTCTCTACCACTTGAGCCACAGCGCCATTTCTGGTTTTCTGAGTGATTTATTGGACATAAGAGTCTCACAGACTTTCCTGCTCAGGCTGCCTTTGAACTTCGATCCTCAGATCGCAGCCTTCTGAGTAGCTAGGATGACAGGCGTGAGTCACCGGCACCTGGCTCTCAGTTTTGATTTTATATTTAGTGGTCCTTTCTTCCTATCCTATTTTTATATTTTAAATAAGTCTTGGGTTGAAAATGATAAAAACCCAAACTTTTTGGAAGAATGCTGACATCAAATAGTTGGGAGTGTCCGAATGAAGACTCTGGGGTTCATGACATTAGGCCTGGTTATTCCACAGCCTTTTTTATTTTGCTTTTCTTAACTGTAAGTCAGTGTTTTCCAACCTTGGTTTTTAAGATTTCTGAAGATGCTTCAGTGATCACGGTGGGGGGGGGGGGGGGGGGGCTTGGAGGGAGCTGGTGAGGAGGTGGGAGACTGAAGGCCCTCTCCTTTCTGCAGCAGGGAATAGCCCTGCTTTTTTATCTCTTACTTCTTTTATAGTAGGATTCTATTTTAAATTTCATTTGACAAAAGGATTTTATGGCTCAAAAAAGTGTCAAAGCCACTTTTGAAGAAATCTGACCTCCAGGTTTGTGTAGCTCAGTTAATGTGTATGAAAGACTTCTGATACTCTATACATAGAAGTTATTTTCAAAAGCAAATGTTACCTGAAGTAAAGGGACGAAGTCCTCTTGTTCTAGAGAGTTACTGCTGGGCTTTGCCAGAAGAGAGATGAACTTAGAGGCGTCATCATGATGGTTAGTCAGCAACCTACAAAACAAATACCAGTTAGGAAGATCTGCTACTCTGAAAAATGACAGGCCACCAACAGACACTAGCAGCGGGGAATTCCAGTCTGATCTAAGGCCATTTAGGTTAAGAGTCAAGTTTGGTTGTTTTTTTTTAGTCGGTTGTAGGGCTCGAACTTGGGGCCGGGGAACTATCCCTGAGCTCTTTTGCTCAAAGCTAGCACTCTACGAGCCAGAGCACCACTTCTGGTTTTCTGGTGGTTGATTAGAGATAAGAGTCTCACCAACTTTCCTTCCCCAGGCTGGCTTTGAACCTCGGTCCTCAGATCTCAGCCTCCCGAGTAGCTAGGATTATAGGCATGAGCCACGGTGCCCAGCTTCAAGATTGTTCTTTTTTTTTTTTTTTGGTCCAGTTGTGGGGCCTGAACTGTGGGCCTGGACGCTGTCCCTCAGCTCTTCAGCTCAAGGATAGCACTCCACCACTTGAGCCACAGCGCCACTTCTGGCTTTTTTTCTTTTTGCATATGTGGTGCTGAGGAATTGAACCCCGGGCCACAGGCATGCAAGGCAAGTGCTCTACCACTGAGCCACCTTCCCAGCCCTTCAAGATTGTTCTTGATAGGTGTAGAGGCAAGAAGTCAGAGAAATCCATGACAACTGCCAAGTTTCTAGCTTGGGGTATTAGGTCTCTCGAATACAGACTGCAATGCTGGACTCCTGAAGATTTTTATCAAAGTGTTCTAGATGGCTGTTTCTCTCAATTTCTACTGTATTACCAAGTGTGGGCCTTAAAATCTTATGCTGTGAAGCAAAGAATATCCTACCAGACCTCAACATTCATCTATTACTACAGATGGCTCATCTCTAAAACCACTTTTGGTTACACAAGTCCCTCACTCAAAAAAAATTTTTAAGCCAGATACTGGTGACTCACGCCTGTCATCCTAGCTACTCAGGAGACTAAGATCTGAGGATCATGGTTTGAAGCCAGCCCAGGCAATAAAGTCCATGAAACTCTTATCTCCAGTACTCAGAAAAACCTGGAGTGGCGCTGTGGCTCAAGTGGTAGAGTGCTAGTCTTGAGCACAAAGAGGCTCTGAGACAGCACCCAGACCCTGAGTTCAAGCCCAGGACTGCCCCAACCCCAACACAAAGAATATATTCTCTAGCTTTCTAGCCTCATATGCATAAGCCTAACTTCCTACATTGGACACTTAAGGCCCTCTAATTAATTCTGTATCATTAACTACAAATTACTTCTTTGTGCTTCAACTTTTATTTTTGGCTTTATGTTCTTGCTCTGTCCCCTCCCTCCCCCCAACTAATGGCTGGTGCTCTATCACTTTAGCCACTCTCTACTTTTGGCTTTTTGCTGTTAATAGGAGATAAGACTGTTGGATTTGTCTTCCTGGGCTAGCTCCAAACTGAGATTCTCAGATCTCATCTTCCTAAGTACCTAAGATTATAGAGGTGAGCCACAAGTACTCAGCTACTTTAACATTTTAATATACTATCTCAAGCCAGGGGCCGGTGGCTCACACCTGTCAGCCTAGCTTCTCAGGAGGCTGAGATCTGAGGATAGTGGTTCAAAGCCAGCCTGGGCAGGAAAAGATGTGAAACTCTCTCTCTCTCAGCTGAGGAGCTGAAGGACAACACTCAGGCCCAGAGTTCAAGCCTCATGACTAACAAAAAAAAAAAAAGGAAAAGAAAATTTAAAAAAAAAAAAAAAAACCTTAACCCCAAGATGCTTAATGAAAAGGGTGCAATTTGGAAGGAAAAAAAGTCAAAAAGTCAAAATAAAAAAGCTTGTCTTTTTTATTTTGTGTGGTAACTGGAACCATTATACTTAGCTGCTTGGTATCCCTTAAAACACTCTGGCTTTTAACAGGTACTTTAAACAGACAGGTGCTGGTGGCTCATGCCTGTAATCCTAGCTACTCAGGTAGAGATCTGAAGATCATGCTTGGAAGCCAGACCATGATGCACTTATCTCCAATTAACCACCAAAGAGCCCCCCCCTCCCCCCCCACAGAAGTAAGAGCACACAAACACACATACAGAGGCACTTTATGAGCTCAAAGAGGAGTGCCCACTAGAGGGCACTCCGACCACTTTTTAGCAAGTTGACCATGCTTCAATACAATACACATTTGCACTGGGTATTTTAGGGAGCTTAGAGGCAGGGGGAAGGACATAGAGCCTACTGCCTACAGAGTAAGGAGATCTGCCTGGACTGTCTCTCATCTCCCTCGCGACAAAGCCAGCTGTGGTGTATTTTTTAACATCAGGATATTAACTGTAGCAGAATTTGAGAACTTCAAATTCAGCCCTTTTTTTCTTCATCTTGGTAGACCCCAGGATCTAACAAAGCCTCAGCTGGCCTCTGGAAAGTGGGGAGAAGGGGGGGAGGTCACAAGAATAAGGGATGTCCTCCTCATGGAGCTCAGCATTGCTGGCAAAAGCCATCTAGTAATTAGGTTTAAGAGAAAGGTGTGATCAGCCTGGGAGATGAAAGAGAATAGGAAATGCTCTATCTTAAGAGGCCTTCATGCCAGAGACAAAAAATGCAACTACTGATGCTGTTTGACCTCCGTACAAGGGAGCTGGTATCCAGCTTGATTTACCTGCAATGAACGGCTGAATACTAAGGAAAGTGATAGCCAGGGCCCTGAGACAGGCCTGACATTTGGAGGAATAGCACAGCACAGCAGCCACAGGTACCGCTGCATCTGTATTCAAAGCATTACAGTCAGTCATTAAAGTTGCAGGGAAAAAGAAAAGAAAAGTTGGGTCTGAATTTTAAAAAAGCTATCAGATGTTAAAAACACAATAATAAGCTGGGTGCTAGTGGCTCACACCTGTTCATCCTAGCTACTCAGGAGGCTGAGATCTGAGGGTTGAGGTTCAAAGCCAGCCCAGGCAGGAAAGGCCATGAGACTCTTATATAAATGAGACTCTCCAATAAATCACTCAGAAAACCGGAAATGGTGCAGTGGCTCAAGTGGTAGAGTGCTAGCCTTGAGCTGAAGAGCTAAGGGACAGCATTCAAGCCCAGAGTTCAAGCCCTATGACCAACAACAACAACAAGAGTCTCTGGATAAATGCACAAGTCCTTTGTCCCTTAACTGAATTACTCCAAAATAACTGTTAAAGCTAGTAGAGAGCTTAAGTATTTTATCAACTATATGTAATCCTAGATTGGATCATGTGTGAATAGAACCTAATTTCTGTTCTCCTTAGAGGAAAAGCATTTACTCCTGTGTCCCTGCTATCAGACTTAGATCTTTCTCCCCAATTTAACAAATAAAACTAAGAAACTGTACCAGAAAAATAAACCAAAGCAACAAAAATAGGAAACCATCAGATAGTTACTATGAAGTACATCTACAGGTCTGCTTTACTATTAAGCAACATCTAAGAGAATCATTCTGGCAAAGAACTTGGGGGAGGAAGAAAGTGGAATGAGTCACAGCATTTTTTTTTTTAACTGAAATAAAGGGGTCACGCCCGTCATCCTAGCTACTCAGGAGGCTGAGATCTGAGGATCACGGTTCCAAACCAGCCTGGGCAGGAAAGTCCGTGAGATTCTTATCTCCAATGAAGCACCTGATTGCCAGAAGTGGCGCTGTGGCTCAAAGTGGTAGAGTACTAGCCTTGAGCAAAAGAGCTCAGGGACAGTGCTCAGGCCCAGAGTTCAAGTCCCATGACCAACAAAAAAATTAAATAAGTAGAAATGGAGACACTGAAAAAAAATGAATCAAGTAATTGACCTCTATGAGGCTTGTCATGACGCCCACCTGATTGGTAGTCCTCGCACTGCTCACACACTTACGTTTTCCACACAGCAATGAATGACTGTGAGGACACAAATCCTGTCTTCTCTCCCCCCGCAGCCCTGAACATGGGGGCTTTCCAGTAGAGAGGACAGCCACAGACCTGCAAATGAAAACAATGCAGATAACGTGGGGTGAAGATGTTGGAAACACATTGTAGGTGAGGATGAGATGACCGAAGCAGTTGTTTGGTACTATGCAAACTGAACAAGGAAACCCGTTTTTGGAAGGGTGGAAAGGGGAAAGGGACAGTGATGGAGGGGGTGAGATTGATTAGGATGGATTGTTAACGTGTGGAAATATAACAATGAAATCTTAATGAAAGCTTAAGAAAAAAGATAATTAAAACAACAACAAGGGTGGGTGGGGTTGCGAGAGAGAAGGGGGGTAAATTGCTAAAGAGATGACATGGATTAGGATGCATTTTAATAATATACTGACATGTTGGGGGCTGGGAAGGTGGCTCAGTGGTAGAGTGCTTGCCTTGCATGCATGAGGCCCTGGGTTCGATTCTCCAGCACCACATAAGCAAAAAGAAAAAAAGCCGGAAGTGGCGCTGTGACTCAAGTGGTAGAGCGCTAGCCTTGAGCTGAAGAGCTGAGGGACAGCACCCAGGCTCTGAGTTCAAGGCCCAGGACTGGTTTAAAAAATATATATATATATATACTGACATGTTGAACGGAAACCTCTTTGTACAACTACTTAAAAGATAAAAAGAAAGAAAAAAAAACAATCAGCAAAATAAAAACAACAACAAGTCAGGAACAGGTGGCTCACGCCTGTCATCCTACCTACACAGGAGGCTGAGATTGGAGGATTGTGGTTCAAAGCCAGCCTGGGCAAGAAAGTCCGTGAGACTTCATCTCCAACGAATCACCAGAAAACCAGAAGTGGCACTGTGGTTCAAATGGTAGGGCCACTTACCTTTACCTGAAGAGCTCAGGCACAGTGCCCAGGCCCAGAGTTCAAACCCTACAACCCCCCAAAAAAGCCTTTGTGGCTTTTACCCCGAAGCCATAGTGGACAGAAGGATCCTGTGGGAATGGTCCAGGGGACACAGACAAGCATCTAGGTAGATTCAGGAAAAGGCACGGGGAAAATGTTTAGTGAAGAAAACGGGGGTGGGGGGGCTGGGAAGGTGGCTCAGTGGTAGAGCGCTTGCCTTGCATGCATGAGACCCTGGATTCGATTCCTCAGCACCACATAAGCAAAAAAGGAAAAAGCCGGAAGTGGCGCTGTGACTCAAATGGTAGAGCGCTAGCCTTGAGCTGAAGAGCTGAGGGAGAGTGCCCAGCCCAGAGTTCAGGCCCCACGACCGAACCAAAAAAAGAAAAAAAAGAAAATGGGACACCATGTATCATAATTCCAAGGTTACTTATAGTAACCCCCCTCCCATTCTGAGTAACTAGGAAACTAGTTCCCATCCCTCCATGCTTATATTAGGTAGTCTCTATGCTTAAGAAAGAAAAAGATATGAATACCCTAGTTGTATTTGTCCTTCAATTCTTGAGCAGAAAAAAATGCAGTCACTTTATTACTGCATCAATTGGTGTTAGCACCCATTACTTATCTCCTCCTTTCTTCTGTGCCTAGAATGCTATTAAGTTCCAGATTCAAAAAGAACCAGAAAAACGCTAGGCTGTTCCAGAAAACTGCTATGTTAGATTTCAGGGAATAGTGAACGGAAAAACTGAAGTGCCACCATTTCCTTATATATTAGAAGCTAGCACAAATAACTATATATTATAAAAGCTTTAGGAATAACTGGGAATTAATATTAAACACATCAATATTCTAAAAAATATATTTTTTTCTTTAATAAAAGGATCTTCTTTTCAATTATTCTTTTTTTCTTTTTCTTTTTGCTGGTCCTGGGCTTGAATTCAGGGTCTGGGCTCTGTCCCTGAGCCTGAGCCTCTCTGTACTTAAGGCCAGTGCTCTACCACTTGAGCCACAGCACCACTTCTGTCTTTTTCTGTTTATGTGATACTGAGGAATCAAACATAGGGCTTCATTCATGCTAGACAAGCACTCTACCACTAAGCCACATTCCCGGCCCAATTAGAGCATTCTTTAATTTTTTTTTTTTTGCCAGTCCTGGGGCTTGTGAATTTAGAGCCTGGGCACCAACCCTGAGCTTCTTTTTGCTCAAGGCTAGGCACTCTACCACTTGAGCCACAGAGCCACTTCCAGCTTTTTCTGTGGATATGGTACTAAGGAATCGAACCCAGAGCTTCATGAATGCTAAGCAAGCACTCTACTACTAAGCCATATTCTCAGACCTCTTCCAGTTTTTAGTGCTTAATTAGAGATAAGAGTCTCATGAACTTTCCTGTCTGGGCTGGCTTAGATCCAAGATCCTCAGATCTCAGCCTCCCGAGTAGCTAGGAGTATAGGCCTCAGGTGTTTCATTTTGCAGAAGGAGAAATTCAAGTTCAGAGATGCTGCCTTATGAACGATAACCAGAAAAGAGGACCCAGAAGGCTTTCTTTATGAGGTTCAGAAGGGTTTTCTTCAACTTCCTACTAGAGGATAAAATTGTGGCCTAGTTTCTCACTAACACTTGTCTCTTGCTCAGTCTCTGTTCTTATCTTGCTTTCATCTTATTAGATTCATCCTCAGTCCATTTCTTTCCTATCTTAAAGTTGTGGACAGAGTACGAAGTACACCCTAAGAATTCAACTGGACACGGACAGTAAGCTCTCCAGGGCTGTCTGGGTTCTAAGATGAACGGGCGAAACCTCATCCACAGATGTAGTTTTCATAAACAGAGTGTTCTCCACACTACAAAACAGATCCCAGTCTTTATAGCTACACTTAAGTGCTACTCAGAGGTTGCAAACTCTAGCTGGCCTTCCAAACAGCTCTCTCAACGACAACAATACATAAACACACCCATTAATTGCTCTGGAGAGCTCTCTCTCCTCCTCCCTTACAGGCTGCCTCTTCTCTTTCCAACACCAACCTGCTGTAAGGCTGTGTTGTGAAAGCTGTGGAGTTCTCTGCCCATGGCAGGTAAGACACAGAGTAAACAAGGACCAAAAATAAAGACAGTGAGTGCCAACAGTGGCTCCGAGCTAAGCAAATGAGAACTGGCTAACAGACGCAAGGAAATCAATATTTAAAATAAGTGGTTTTAAGAGTAAAGAGGCAAAAGCTAGTAAAATGAGTCAGTCCAGTAATCAGAAAGAAAGCAACAAGAAGCTGGTGGTGCATGTCTGCAATCCCAGCATTTGGGAGATTCTGGTAGGAGGTGTGAGTTTGGGGCTAGCTTGAGTTATAAATCAAGGCAGTACCTCAAAAAACTGAAACACACCAGGTGCCAGTGGCTCATGCCTGTCATCCTACCTATGCAGGAGGCTGAGATCTGAGGATCGAGGTTTGAAGTCAGCCTGGGCAAAGTCCATGAGACTCTTATCTTCAATTAAGCACCAAACAAGCTGGAATAATTGGAGCTGTGGCTCAAGTGATAGAGTGCCAGCCTTGAGTAAAGATACTGAGGAACAGTGCTCAGGCCTAGAGTCCAAGCTCCAGGACTGGGAGAAAAAATAAACGGAACTAAAACACACACACACACACACACACACACACACACACACAAAAGAAACAACAAGGGGCTGGGAAGGTGGCTCAGTGGCAGAATGCTTGCCCTGCATGCATGTGACCCTGGGTATGATTCCTCAGCACCACATAAATAGAAAGTGGCACTGTAGCTCAAGTGATAGAGCACTAGCCTTGAGCTGAAGAGCGAGCTGATGATAGACACTGCCCAGGCCCAGTAGTTTAAGTCCCATGACTGACCAAAAAGAGACACAACAGCAACAACTCCAAAAACTCAAAACAACATAAACAATCATAAAATATAGATGTATGTATATATATATATATATATATATATATATATATATTCTTTCTTTTTTGGAGACAGGATGTCACTGCATAGTCTAGGCTGATTCTGTCTCTGCTTGTACCCACCATGCCCAGCTCCTGTCAATTTTTTATTTTTTTATTTGGCTGGTATCAAGAGGCTGAACTCAGAGTCTGACACTTGTGAGGCTTGTTTGCTCAGCTGGTACTCTTACTACTTGAGCCATGTCTCCAGCCTGGCTTTTCGTTAGTTAATTGGAGATGAAGTCATGCTCACTTTTGTGTCTGGGCTTGCTTTGAACTGTGACCTGGATCTCAGTCTCTTGAGTAGCTAAAATCACAGGCATGAGCCACTCCCCAACGCCTGGCTCATGACAACTTTTTTTTAAGGTCAGTACACATGCTTATATGTAATGCTAGTTACAACTAGGTATGGACAGCTTATCACGCCACTTCGGCTAACAATTAAGGTGTAGGAGCAATGACGGGAGAGGCTTGGCTCCCAAGAATGGAATGTAGGGCTGTAATCAAGTTAATCAGTCATATACATATGCAATGGTTATTGTGCCACAGGGTCATTAGATATAAACCATAAATTACTGAGTCAATTCACTTGGCTAAGGGAAATAGTCTGCTATTTTTTAAGCGTTTCCACATTGCTGGCTTTAGCACTGGTACTTTTCCCTGACGCCCCATCCGGACCCATCTTCTCTGTGTATAATTGTTTTCCCACCACCCTAGGGTTCCCTCCCTTCCGTGCCTACATTCCTTCCACGCCTCCACTGGCCATCCCACGGCCATTAGGCCTTCTGCTTTCCTCTCACTGAATGTGTGGAGCGCTGGTGGGCCCCTGAGGCATGGAGCCAGGGCAGGGCCACTTTCCCACAGGGGTGGGGAACTCAAGAGCAGCAAGATGTATGCAACAGGGGTGGGAGGAGAGGAAAGAGGGTCTCCATGTCCCTAGGTTCAAGACAAGGGTGGGCTGTAGTAGCACTGGTTCCCCCAATATGGCCTCCCCAGACAGTGAACCCAGCTCCTTCCGGGGAACTTCTGTGCCTCACACTTCATCAGAACAGCTCCTCCCCCGTCTGCTTACATGAAGCAGCCCCTGAGAGTTGTCTTCCTCACAAATGGTTCCTGAGCTAGAATGAATGGCCTTTTGGTATTTATGCAGAAAATTTCAGGTGTAGGTGGGGCGAAACAAGCAAGCCCTAGTGTATACATAAACTGTCCCCACGATTAACCCTTACCAATCCAGAAGCAAGGACTGATTTTCTTTTTTCTTTTTTTGGTTGGTCAGTGGGCTTGAACTCTGGGCCTGGGCGCTGTCCCTCAGCTCTTCAGCTTAAGGTGAGCGTTCTACCCCTTGAGCCACAGCGCCACTTCCGGTTTTCTGGTGGTTTATTGGAGATAAAAGAGACACAGCCTTCCGTGCCCGGGCTGGCTTTGAACCACAATCCTCAGATCTCAGCCTCCTGAGTAGCTAGGATGACAGATGTGAGCCACTGGCAGGACTTATTTTCTTTAGGACTGCTTTCCTCGGCTCACTCTAGCTCTGCTGTATGTTATCCTGCCCTTCTGACATAAAGCCACTGTGAGTTATAGTGCTTTCCTTCTCTAGGTTGGCAAAAATGCTCTTAGCTCTGGTCTGGCAGATATCTTCCAGCCCACTGCTGGAAGCTGCTTGAGCTGGTCACCAGACAGATTTTTTCTGTTCTTTTTCTTTTTGGCTAGCATCTACATCTGTAATGGCTCAATAACCAGAGATTCTCTTTGTCTCCAGAGTTTTAATAGGTTTCCTCTGAATACAGATTTTACTTATCCTTGATCCGTTTGTATTTTTTGTATGTAGATCCCATCGTTCACAGCCCATTCAGAGAGAACCATTTTGGTTCTGTTCTCTAATATAACAAGCATTCTCAGAGACCTGGGGGGGGGGGGGGTGGGGGGGGGGAGGACGACAAAGGTTCAGTGTCCTGGGAGAGGATCTGTACTTTAGTTTTGTGAGCTTAGCTACTTCTAGGGCTGTAGTTTTCTCACAAGTAAAACAGACAGGTTAAGCTCTGATCTCCTGAGAGAAAGCATGCTTTTCTTTAGAAATAAACTCAATTCTAAGAATTAATAAGCAAGTAGTAACATTGGAGTCGAGTGGATGGTTAAAAAAAAAAGTAAATAAACAAAGCTGGGTGTCTGGTGGCTCACTAGCAATTCAGGAGACTGAGATTTGAGGATCATGGTTCAAAGCCAGCTAGTCCATGACTTTTTTTTTTTGTCAGTCGTGGAGCTTGAACTCTGGGCCTGAGCGCTGTCCCTCAGTTCTTTGGCTCAAGGCTAGTGTTCTACCATTTGAGCCACAGCACCACTTCCAGTTTTCTGAATGGTTTATTGGAGATAAGAGTCTCACAGACTTTCCTGCCTGGGCTGGCTTTGAACCACGATCCTCAAATCTCAGCCTCCTGAGTAGTTAGGATTACAGGTGTGAGCCACTGGCGCCTGGCCCCATGACTTTTATCTTCAATTAATCACAGAAAAAATGGAGCTATGGCTCAAAGTGGTAGAGCACCAGCTCTGAGCACAAAAGCTCAGGGACAGAGCCCTGGCCCTGAGTTCAAGCCCTCCAGGACTGGCAAAAAAAAAAAAAAAAAAAACCAAGTCGGGCACTGGTAGCTCATGTCTGTCATTCTAGCTACTCAGGAGGTTGAGATCTGAGGATTGTGGTTCAAAGCCAGCCCAGGCACAAAAGTCCATGAGACTCATCTCCAATTAACCACCATAAAACCAGAAGCAGCACTGTGGCTCAAGTGGTAGAGTGCTAGCCTTGAGCTGAAGAGCTGAGGGACAGCCCAGGCCCAGAGTTCAAGACCCAGCACTAACAAAAACAAAAACAGAAAAAGCAAAAGAGACAGACAAAAGACAACAAAGTTCTATGAAGCAGAACACAGAATTGATGTTTTTCAATATGGTGGATGGGGTGGGGAAGGGGGGGATGGAGGAATGTATGTATGCTTAAACACAGAGAGAAAGTCAGAGAAGAAGGGAATGTTGGAGCTGCTAGGGGAAGGAAATTAGGAAATCACTTGCGTACTTCTATTACCTTTGCAATTTTCCCCATTTCATAAATGTCTGCTTTCTGATCTTCAATATCCATGAAAGCATTTTCGATTCTGCTCAGCGTCTGTTCATGGTTACTGCAGGTATCTGGGAGTCCTTCCGGAAAGTAGAAGCGTGGAATGTTTATGGACAACGGTGCGTTCACAGCATTATTCGCATGAGGGACCAGGGAGTCAGGTTGGGGACTACTTGGGAGGGCGGCTGGAGGTGGAAGTGGTGTCCCAGGTTTCTTTTCTGGTTTATTTTGAATCTGGAAAAGAAATGTGATTCTAAGATACACCAATTCTAAACTGTATATATATTTCTTAAGAAGCCTCACCCGTAATGGGAAGTCATGTATAAATACAGAAACCACACATTAAGACGCACTAGAGGTCAGGAGATCTGTGTAGTCTACAGGGCGGCATGTTTTTAGGGGATGCTTTCCATATTAAATAGATCAGTATATAAATTACGCATTCATCCTCAAGCTTACAGAGACTTCGGTACATTCCCACCCATCCTTTGGCAGGCATCACAAAATACAGATCTGAAGGTGCATCAGTCTGCGAGCACTAGACTAGTAAATTCTTTTTGAAACGGTTCTTAGGTTTTCTGTGCATTCTTACATCTTCAATTGGCAGAAAAAGCAGCAAATTATTTTTCTTTGTTCTTTTGAGACAGGCCCTCACTATACGTTGACTTTTGTTCCTCCTGCCTCAGTCTTCTGAGTGCCAGGATTTTAGGAATGAGACTAACCACCTAGCTCATTATTGTAATTGTTTAGGGTGTGTGTGTGTGTGTGTGTGTGTGTGTGTGTGTGCGCGTGTGTGTGTGCGTGTGTGTGTGTGTATCTGATCTGATCTCCTGTAAAGTCCAGGCTGGACTTCAATTTGCTGTGAAGCTCAAACTGGTCTTTGTTTTTGGTTGTGAGGCCTAAACTCTGGGCCTGGGCTCTTCAGCTCAAGGTGTCCCTCAGCTCTTCAGCTCAAGGCTAGCACTCTATCACTTGGGTCACAGCGCCAGTTCTGGCTTTTTTTGCTTATGTGGTGCTGAGGAATCGAACCCAGGGCCTCATGCATGCAAGGCAAGCACTCTACCACTGAGCCACCTTTCTCAGCCCTCAAGCTGGTCTTGAGTTCACTCTGTAATGCAGGCTGGCCTTAAACTTGTGATCTTCCTGTCTCAGTCGACAAGTGCTGAGATTCCAGACACAATGCTAGCAAACCTGGCTTGGAATTCTAAAAAAAGGCACAGATCTTTCTTCTGAAAGACTGCTGAGCTAGGGATAATCTGAGAGCAATCAGAGCCAAGACCACTGGAGCCAGTGTGGATGAACAAGTATTAGCTGGCAGGGTTTAGAGCAAGACCTTTGATGTTAACTCTGCTTTTGCTCTGACAGAAGTGGGTGACATTCAGAACAAACACGGGCTACCTGTCAATGCTTTCACATGAGAAAAACATCTGATTACATGCCGTTCTACTCTGCTTTTGTGTGTGTATGTGTGCACTTCTTAACAATAATTGGCTGATAGGCAAGTATTCACTGGTTAACTCCATATTTAATAAAACAGAGTAATATTCTAAAGGAACCTATTAAAATGATGTGTTTATTTTCAAGTTTCACTTACATTACCTTAACTCTCGTTGAATAAAATAGGAAATGTGTAAGTCAAACCTTAAGGTACCATGACAAAGTAGACCCTTTCCAAAGATGATAAAACCTTAGTCATATAAAATTTGCCAGATTGGCAAGCTTGCTCTCTGCTCACTTTGACTGAAGTTGCAGTCCAATACAGAAACAGTATCAAACAATAATAAGCTCGGTAAGTATCCCAACTGTCCCCTTTGGTCTTTCCCTAAATCAGAGCAGTGTTTCCATATACATTCAGAACAGTACTAGGTTTTATATCACTATGGCACTGTAATGTTTTTAATACTTGATCATCAATTCTTTCTTACAAAAAGTAAAAGGAAAACAAGAGTCTCCATGGTTCATCCACAACATCTGAAATTACTCTGGGTTACAATAATTATGAAACAATAGCTTCTGGTGGGATTTCAGAGAGCTACCATTTATTTGTGTGGCTTTTGATTTGTATTGTACTCTGTGCTGGACAACTTGCATGGTAAGCAGACACTGGCTCTTAAGTTGTAAGCAAGAAAGTAGAGACAGCAAAGAAGTCACCACAAAGTAGAAATCATGTCACAGCTTGCTTAGGGAAAACATTTTCCACAATTCAGAAGAAATTTCCATTCCTAATTATCTGCAGCTACACAGCACACTATATACCTACATAATTGTCTATATACAAAGTTCTTCTGTTTAAAAAAAAAAATCACTATTTAAAAATATCAAGATTCTTTAACACATATTTTCTACAAGTGTTAATCCTGATTCTGTCCAAATAAGGGTTTTAATCTAGAGATTCTAGTTTGTTTAGTACTTTTCTGGCTAAACTGTAAAACATTTGATAAGTTGTATTTATTGTCTTTAAAACTGGATTCCCTTTCTGTGTGCTCCAGGTCCAGGTCTATTTTTAAACCTGTCGGAATCTCTCTACAAATAACTTTCTGCAAATAGCTTGAATAGAGGGCACAGATTAATTCCTTGATCCAATATCAAGATACCAGTTATAAACTGTTAGTTCAGTGGGTGGTTTCATTAGTAATAAAAAAATACTTAAAAAGTAATAAAAAAAATACTTAAAAAAAACCCACAACCAACCAACAACAAAACAAAACACCCCAAGCTTCAAACCTGTGTCTGCTGAAATGACTTCAGCCTCTTCTTAAACCGTGACGGGAGAACAAAATCACAGCCCCTTGCCAGGAAAGCTAACTCGCCCCTTAAATCCGGGTCCCTTCGTAAAGATGTCTCCTTGATCATCATCTTTGAAAAGTGAGCGTTGACTTCGCAACTGCCCCAGCACACTTCTGAAGATAGATTTAATAAACTGTCAATCTCGTCAGGTAGAAAGGCACTTTTTTTTTTCTTCTTATCTCCCAGAGAGATTAAATTCAAGCATTGTGTTCTCCCAGCCACAATCCACAGGGGCCACAATCCATGCTCCTTCTGACATGCAGCTGGTTCCCAGAGATAGCCTGTGGCTCCCAATTCTTGCTCATAATTTTGAAATTACAAATACACAGCCTGCCAAAGGGCCTTGTTGCTCCCTGTGGGTAGCTTTATGTGAAATTGACCTGCACATGTTAGGAATACAGAGCCTTCTGGGAAAAGAAGCACCCACTACTCCTAGTACCAAAGTTAGAAGCATGACAGCAGGCCCTAAAAATAGCAACTTCCCAGATAACACTAACTTGTAATTTCACCATGTGAGGTATTGATCCACACAAAGCAGTTTCTCTACAAACCAGGGGAAAAGAATGTGTAGAACACTTCCAGTTGTTGCTATTTAATACTTGATAAAAAAAAAAAAAAAGAACAGACTGAATTTGAAACATGAAACTACTGCTTCAGAATGGGTTTTATTTCTTCACTGGAAGAAAGCAAAGATTAAGAATTCTCTAGGTATTGCTGGTCAAAACATGAAGAAAGCAGAAACTTTCATGCTCAAATGGTAATCAACAAAGAAATTTGTACTTTAAGAGTTGAAAATCATTTGTTTTTTGGCAGAAGACTACCTTAGTTACTTTTCTGAAGTGATTATATGGATATATACATACATAACATATCCATAATACATATACATATCTATGTGTGTATATATATTTTTATTTTATTATTATTATTATTTTTGGTCAGTCGTGGGACTTAAACTCTGGGCCTGGGTGCTGTCCCTCAGCTCTTTGGCTCAAGGCTAGCACTCTACCAGTTGAGCCACAGTGCCACTTCTGGTTTTCTGAGTGGTTTATTGGAGATAAGAGTTTCATGGACTTTCCTGGTCAGTCTGGCTTTGAACAGCAATCCTCAGATCTCAGCCTCCTGAGTGCTAGGATTATTAGCATGAGCCAACGGCGCCAGGCTATATATATCTATCTTTTGAAAATTTTATTGTTACAGGGTGGCAACAGTCAAATACTATTATCAAACAGTTAAAACTACTGTCTAAGAAATTTTAGATATGCCTGTGTAAGTGAAAGTAATAAAAATAGTGCAAAAGACGATCAAGTAACAGTAATAGTAAATAGTATTATTACTATGTTCATAAGGTGTGTAAGATTCTTTCCTTCAAAAAGCTTTATAAAGAAATCATCCAACCCGGGCGCTGGTGGCTCACGCCTGTAATCCTAGCTACTCAGGAGGCTGAGATCTGAGGATCGCAGTTCAAAGCCAGCCCGGGCAGGAGAGACCGTGAGACTCTTATCTCCAATAAACCACCAGAAAACCGGAAGTGGCGCTGTAGCTCAAGTGGTAGAGCGCTCGCCTTGAGCTGAAGAGCTGAGGGACAGCTTCCAGGCCCAGAGTTCAAGCCCCACGACCGACAAAAAAAAAAAAAAAAAAAAAATCATCCAGATGTTTACAATATTCATCAGGTTACCAAATATTAAATAATGGCCTCATCTCAATATTTATGACTGAATCAAGTGTTAGCTCGTTAAAAACACTGAGGATTCTCATCAATGTCATCATTCAATTAGTCTTCTAGTTCTAGAAAATGCAAAACTTCAGAAAGCCCCAAATCAGCTTACCACTGTCTCTTACAGTCTTATTAGTGGCATATTTTCTACAGTTTCCTGCAATTTGGCTTTTTTCCATTCATTTCAAGGCATTGTGACAGCTTTTTGCAACATGTACAAGAGTTGGGCTTATGTGTCCTAACATGTGGCTTAATTTTTTTTTTCTGAGTTGTGTAATTCTTAGCTCATCCAAAAATCTGACCTGAAAGCTTTCAATGTGTATTATGGCTGAAGATTACAATGAAAAAAACACTGTTTTTTCTCTCTCATTGGGCAAACATGTTAACTGTTAATTAGGTAGCTTTCCCATTCTTTCTTTCCATATTCCTGCCTAGAACATTCTTCCTCATTATTTTTATCCTACATACATACATAAATAGGATTTGGCTATGTTGATATCTTCCCTCATTATTTATCTCCAGACTAAAATAACAAAAAATTGTTTCAATTACAATTAGGTCTCACACCATTTAATGCTTATTCAGCTAAGCCGCACCTTAGTTTGTACTACCCATGGTATCGGGTGAATTTTCACTTCCTGAGAACAATCTGCTTCCTCAAGTTACACAACATTCTGGTCTTAAATTTTATCTGTTTCAGGAACAGGTCCCTGGCTATCAGAGGCTGTTG